GGCGACAAGGATCGCTTAAGCTTCCAGGATCGAGGTGTCGAGCCATTGACTCGATCCGCATATCCGATGGCGAAGAGCCCTGCACCGCTCGCGGCATCGTCGGTGGACTCCCTTGCGATCTTCTCGGGCAATGTTGGTGAGGAAAAGTCGCCAAAGCCAGCGGGTGCTCCTCCCAGTTTCGATCACAAGCCGAGCCCCTTGAGCACCATTCAATCCAGTAGAGAGCCCAGCTCAGGTGAATTTGACAAGGCCATTGAGGCCCAAGATACACTGCCAGGAAGCCATCCCGGCGACCGGCGAACGAGTGAGGGCTGGGGTAAATATTTCCAAGATAACAGTGCGGCGCCTCTGATGGTTCCGCCGGCAGCTGTACCCGCCCGGCCTGACTCGACGGCCACGACAGCTACTGCATGGCCGATGAAAAGTCTTACGCCTCTGAACACCAACTTCTTAGAAGCGCCGAAACCGCTGGGATGTGTCGTGAGTGGTAGCCCCACCACCGAGCATGCTACGTCACCCAAAAATGGACAATACATCACAATCCCCGAAAGCCAGTCCGCTCGCATATCCACTGCCAGTGACATCACTATCGAATCGGACGATGGCTACCAGCATGAAGGATCACGTGCACAACAAAGCTGGCTTGGCCGTCCCCCAAGCAGCACCTACAGCAGAAGTTATTATAACCCGAGCTATTACAACCCCAGCACGTCTGACGTGCCCTCGCTCGTGACCCCATTACGCGATACCCGCATGAACACGCGCGGCTCGAGCGTGCTTATCCCAGATAGCGTTGAACCCATGCCACCGCGCGACACTCGCAACAACAACAACAACAATATCAACTCTGACATGAGCTGGTTGAATCTCAATGCTGAGCGCTGACCTTCCTACCGAACTTGAACCAGAAACACACTCCTTGAAGCTTCCATGAGCCTCCTCTCCTTGACCACCATCCGTCCCCTGACTGGGTCTAATCCGCTCCTTTCCTGACTTTAGCTATGCCCTAATACCAGCCGGAAAAAGATACCTGTAAAAAAGTTTCATTTTCCTTGCTCTCTTTCCACGATGGATGGAACGTACAGCTAGCCGCGCATTTCTTATAGTTTCAGCATCTCATTGCACATGTTTCTGTTTCTGTTTCGCCACTAGGATTCATCATTGAAGCGTCCCAATTCCACCTGTTGTGACTCGTCCTACCCGCTCCATGCATCTACGCATTTATCTTGTTCCTTATTGGTTTACTTTCTCCTCAATCGCTTTCATGAAACCCATCATCTCTTTGAATTCCTCTTTTTGCTCGGACAGGATACCGGTGTTGTGCTTCGGAGTCGTATATAGAGTTTCTTTTTTCCTTCGCATAAATGCCACCAGCAATTTAATCCAATGACCCGCAATCTCTCCGTCCCAATCTATGCATATTAAATTAATCTCACTCAACCAACACCCAATTAAAGTACCAGGACTCCCGAGTTTCATCCAGCCACACTACTTTATGTGAGGCGTGGTCATGCCATACGCTCCGTTTTTAATCTCGAGATGTCATCTATCTATTGCATTAATGGATCTGGCGTAAGGAATGGATGGGTCTGTGCTTGTGATCGTTTCTGGTGGAGTTCTGTTATTTGCATTTTTTGACTAGTGGTGTGGACTAACTAGGAGGTTGGCCCTTTTTTTGGGGGGAGAGTGGTTTGGCCTAGATAAGGATGGTTATTCTGGTTGGTGAATAATCTTGAGTTCTGTGGTGGCTTTGTACTGGGTACTAGTAGTATAAAGCACTAACTCGCTTGCAGGTTCAGTATTGAGTATGGATGCAGAGCGCTGTACGAGAATACTGAAGGCAGAGATATAGTAATGAACATGTTACCGAAATAAAATTCAAACTGTACCTAAGGAGGCAAAATTTCCCTTGCATAAAGACATAAACTTGCAAAGCACATAAAACGAAGAAACAAAGAAAGTCATAAGGTCATCACCGCCATGGTCATCAGTTTCATACAGTCATTAAGATATAGCGTTCGCAAACGGTCAATTTCAATTTGCATAGTTCGGGGTAATTTTTCCACAGATGAAATCATACTTCTTGGGCTACCGACATAGACCGACCTCTCGATCCATGTTGGGAGGGGGGATATTCTTCGATTTCGTCGGGATACATCGTGTAACGGTGTGGCATGGCTCCGTAACTTTGAGCCCGGCGGCGTTCTCGTTTCGAATCGCACTGTTTTCGGAAATCTTTGCGCTCTTTGCGCATATGGTCGACATGTCTCCATTCATCAACTGCGCCTTTGATGCCCAGCGTTGCAAGACCTACACTCGCTGCGTCGACAAGGTTGTTTTTCACTCTGAGTTTGCGTGCTTCTTCGGGAGACATATCACCCTCTTTCACCATTTTGGCTCGTTTCTTGTGCTTTTCCATGCTTCCGTGTAAGCCGTGGGCTGCGTGGATGGTTGCTACGGTGGCCAGACCGGTAGTTAGGAGCATCTTCCGCGTCAGCTTCTTATGCTGGTGCTCCTCATCGGTACTGCTTCCAAGGTCAGAATCCTTATCCGAATTTGAGTTATTATCCTGGTGGTAAGTGTGGCCTTCCTCGCCTGTGGCTCCGGACCTACTGTGGGATGATGGCGAATGATTACTGTCAGGGTTTAAAGATCGACCTACATCTCTGGAATGCCGAGTCCGTCTTGAGCTCCCATGGTGCCTAGATCCGTAGTCGCTATCCGAGTCATAGTCCGAGTAGTCATCTCGGCGAGAGGGTCGATCGCGATGTCGTCTCCGGTCGTCTTTGTCCTTATCCTTGTTTTCAAGGCCTAGCGCTTCCATACCCCGGTTGATATAGTCGGAAACGCTCTTACTCCGCTTTCTGGGCCGGCGCGGAGAATCGTCCTGGCTGTCCCGCGAGTGGGACCGACCACGTGGACGGGACCTGGACCGAAACCGACTATATGCTTCCTTCCCAGCAGCGGCCAAGGCTCCAGCAGCGGCAAGATCAGGAAGTTTACTCTTACTCTTTTCGCGGCCTCGGGACTTGGACCGCGAGCGAGACCGGGGGCCGTTCACAAAATGGTTCGCAGCCAGGCCAGCCAGTGTAGACTCGATGATATGACGCTTGGAATGTTTGTTAGGGTCCCGGTCCACGATTCCATCAGTGCCACCCGCTGTCAAAGCGGCAGTGAGAATCCGTTTGCCTTTTGCGCCCGTCCAGTCGCCGGGTTCTTTGCGCACACGAAAAGCTTCCACTGCGCCTGCAGTCAGAGCTGCTTTCATGGCCTGTTCAATTCGCTGCTCACTCCGATCCCGCCGATGACGGCTTCTGTTCCGAGTCGGAGAGGGTGAATAAGAGTAAGACCTGCTATGATGGCCGTGGGAACGTCCGCGACGGTGCTCGTGATGCTTAGAGGACGAGGAGGCAGCGGAACCTACACCTAGGGCTTCCATAGCCTGCTCTGAGAGGGATTTGCGACGTCTGCGGGGAGGAGGCGATCGGCTGCTAGACGGAGAACGCTGCGAGCGCCTGTGACGGTCACCTGTTCCGGTAAGATTAGTCCAAGATATCCCAGCCACGCTAGTTTGGCCTTTTTAGAAACAGACTACATACGTGGATCATCATAATCATAACGTTTCGAACGACGACTATGGCGCGAATGATGATAGTCGGGATCATCATAATACGAACCACGGCCTCCCATGGAGTGGGACCTGTGCATGCCTTCTTGGACGGTGGGAACCCTAGAGTGGCGAGACTGAGGGGGTAGACCATATCCATATTCGTAGCCATAATCCCCCGGAAGTGACTCGTTGCTACCGTTGCGCCGACGGACGACACCCGTCTCGTGGCGACTGTTACTATAGGGACCACCGCCGGAGTAATAGTCTTGTGAGTAGACGCTGGATGGGCGCGCATAGCGATCGCGAGGGGAATAGTAATGGCTTTCGTCGTAGTACGCCATTGTTTTGGCTAGAGTGGGAAGACAAAGTCTAGACCAGTGGGGGTGACGATCATACAGGATACACCAACAACAGAGTTCAACGATTTGGGGAGAAGGATGTGAGGGAGCTCGGGGAGGGGAGGAAAGAGAAAGTGAGACAATGAGACGTGAGTTAAAAGAGGAAGAGAGAGAGTAATAAGTAAGAATGAAGATGCAAAAGAAAAAAAAGAAAAAGACAAGAAAACAAGAAGATTGGCACGGGAGAGATTGTGGCAAGAGGCGGGGCAGCTGCACGTCAGTGACGTATGAGCGGTACCTCGCTGACAGAATGTCCAGTCCAGTACTAGTAGTATTAATAGAATGATTCGCTGTTTCGCTCAAGTAAGGCTGAAACGGTCCAAGCTCGATCATCAAGGTATAAGCCGTCTGGTTAAACAGGATGGTCGTGATCGATGTGTTTCATATGTTCCATTCGCCCGTATAGTAGAGAGTGTATAGCACACAGGATCGTAGAGTGGTAATGAAGTAGTGGAGCCGGACCCTAAATTTGATGCACACCTGAAAATACTACAGTGCCTTTCGCATGAGCACCTGAGGACAACACCTTACCCGTTTGGGGCCTTGGGCAGCGATCCCGTCATGGATGACTAACCAGATCACGTTCAATCATCGTTTGATTTGACAATTTCAAGAGCTCAAATACTAAATGGAAAGACACACAATCGCCATTGACATCATGTCGCATCACCCCAATCCCTTATTCATTCAATCAGCATGAAGAGAAAGCGATGATTGTCCGCCTTAACATGTTACGCCTCATCGAGGCTCTCGGCACTTCAGGCCAAGCTCCATCACATCGGGCTCCATAGATGGACCCGTCTGTTCCTGACCTAGACCGACGACTAGTTTGACAACCATGGTTTCGGGCTGCGTGCCGTGGTTCAACCTTGTTTGTCCTGGGGGTCTCAGTGATTCACAAGGCGTGCGGCCATTGATCGGTAGGGGTATCTCCGTGGCATGTCTTGTCCCGTACCGTACTACTTGAATTTACGCTCGCCGATAGACAATCGTTCCAGTGTGGTATCAATCAGTTCATTCACGTTTCAATGTGACATGGTCTCTTACACAATGGGCCCCTAACACAGTTGGTATACTATACATATCAAAAAAAAATAAACAAATAAAAAAAAGTTTTCTGGGCCATAACTTGGAACTTCTCGTGGCACAAGGGGGGAATAAAAGGAAAAAAGGAAAACCCCCAAGACAAAAACAACGCTTATAAGCTGATCCAAACTAGCCATGCAATAGAGTTTAAAAAACATCAATAAAGGAGAAATGTCAAAGAATAAAGAAGAGAAAAAAAAGGCAAGGTAATAGCCCGTGCCAAATGGTATAGAGATGAGAAAATCCGGACTTTGCTGCCCAGTCAGTCCTCTGTTCAAATCATGGTTAAGCCATTCTATCCCAATTCTATCCGCCATTTCCAGGCGGCAGAAATCAAACCTGTGACCGTGTGTGAGAGTGCCGCACAGCAGTCACCCTCAAAGCCTGTCGAGTTGCTCCAAAATATGAAGATCAAAGACCATCTGGGGGTCATGAAAAATGGGAAAGGAATAGAAAAGCAAAGACAGGGCAAATAATGGTGGAGGGTTGGCCTCCCACAACTGCCCTGATCTGGGAGATTGCTAGAGAGTTCGATTGCTCATATATGTTCGCCTCACACGTGTTACTCATCAAATCCATGGTGACATCGTTTCAAGTGGCTGCGAACGCTGACACAGTCACTTGCGCTCATCTCATAGTTGCCATGCTGTCGTAGGCATTCCCATCCATCTGGGACTGGCTTGAGGATCGGTGGTGGTTGTACACGGGGCTGTCCCTCCTGACACGCCACCGGTTACCTGCATCAGTATCCTTCTCCGTCACACCCGTTGGCCGATCTTCAGAGTGTGTCCGATGCGTTCGAATGTGCTGCTTCATATTGTCCTTTCGGGTGAAAGCTTTGTTGCAAATCGGGCAGTGTACGCTTTTTTCGCCAGTGTGCTTCTTTCCATGGCGCGCCGCATGTCCCGAAGTCGTGAAGGTAGCGGAACAGTTGTGACTAGCAGCAAACGGGCATGGATATTTGTTCTTTCGGTTTACTTTGGTTGCCATGGCATCCCTGGATCCACTAATCGATGCTGGTGGGGAGGGAGGGTCAGATACGCTGTTAGCACTGAGTCTTTTCTCAGCATTGGTCGTCGCGGTTCCTGCGTTCGGCGCTTGGTAAACATGGGGTTCCTGACGATGAGACTGCATATAGTAACCGGGTCCGGCGCTCATGTAGTCGTAAGAGCAGTCGGATGACCCAGGGGACGTGGGCTGCGCGGCTTCCGACACGGGATCGAACTGTTGCCGGTTCACTGGGAAAGAGTCTGAATGCGCATACCCATAGCGATAGTATGAGTTTAATGCCTCTCGTCGTGGCTCTGACGGATAAGGGTATGATGAAGTAGAATGCGGCCTGCACAACCGAGGGCTTGATCGTACTGTGAATGATGGATTGTCATCATTGTTTAATATGGACACGAAGCCTGCCTTGCAGCTAGCCATATTTTACGCTAGAAATATCTGGTATTGGGCGACTTTTGGGACAGTTAGCTAACTTGTTTCCTTTCGAACCATTCTTTAGTAATATCGGACGACACAGGGGTCTGTGATCCCAATTTCCAAAAGCACCCACGATAAAAAAAGAAAAGCTATCAAATGGGGAGTACTCACGAAATGTCTTCGAGGATGTTTGTCCTTTCTTCGTGCGACATGCACTAGATCTATTGCCAGGTACTTGAATGCAGATCTGACAAAACCCCAGTGGAACTCGGCCTCCTTGGCGAAGTAATCAATTTTAACCGGACAGAATCCCGAGAACTCCTGCCACGTTCTGGATGATGAAAAAGAGCCCGACTGATCCACCCCTCAAGACTGGACAATGGCGTTGACAGACGATTTAAATGTTCGGTTTCCTCTCTATAGTTGATGGCACCGATCACTTCCGATAGGGGACAGAAAAATATATGGTTCTTAAAGGGGGTTGAAAATTGAACCGGTCGTTTTCCGGAGATGCGTTATGAAGGAATGATCAGAAGATAGGAGGAGAGTTAGATCAATACCCTGACAGGTATAAGCCCTAGCAACTATCTTCCAGAGAAGTGCCGGAGCCAAGAAAAATAGCGAGATGAGTAAGTCGAGAAGCACCAAAGCCGGATTGAGAAATGAGATTGCACCCGGGTATTGATGATGAGAAGAGGAGACCGTCAAATGTGATACAGACGTGATAGGTGATTTGATAGATGTTGATCGATAAGGGACGATTGAAGGAAGTGCTAAGATAGACGCTTGTCTAATTAGAAGAGGGGAATGGCGAAGGAGAGTATTGAAGGTTTGGACGAAGGAAATTGGAATAGAGGATGAAAGAGGATGAGGAGAAAGGCGAATGGAAAGAGAAATAAATGTAGAAGGAAATGAGGAAGAACGACAAATGATAAAGAGAGAAGGGGAAAAAAAAAGAGAAAGAGAAAAAGAAAAAAGAAAAATGGGACAAGAAGTAGAAGAATAAGAGGAAGAAGAAGCAGAAGCATCTTGAAACCCGTCCAGGGTCTCTCCAGAAGCTCTGGCCATCTCAGTCAAGTCAGTCAGTCGTTACTTAGTCGCTGTACTAGTGAACCAGTTAGTTAGCGTTCGAGGGTGTCCACGACACTAGTTAGTTCTCCAGTCCTGGTGGATCCGTGGTAGGCATCATTCATTTGTAGAAGAATAAAATAAAAGTAATAATAATTAGAATAATACTAGACCACGGCTACTAGTCTGTCCATGGAATCCTTGGATTTGTTCTCTTATGAGGGGGCCAAGGGTCTGCCCAGAGTCTTGTTGGGACCAGTGTAATTTTAAAAAATCATGAACAAGAAAAAGAAAAGAAAATGATAATAAAGGTATAAAAATTTCAATCATTTTTTCACTCGCTTGTATTCTCAGAGACTTTCGGTACGATAGGAGGAAATATCTGAAAATAATAAATTCAGATTTCAAAAACAAAAACCCAAAAATCTTGCCCTTTTGCGAATTAAGAGTTAATTTTCCCACTGGGTCTCGGAGTCCCGAAAATAAATAAATAAATGAACTGAAATTGAACTGAAAAATAAAAAATAAAAAATAAAAAATTCAAGCAATTCAGGAACTCTAAGGTGTGGCTAAACAATTTAACATTCAAATGGTAGTAATTCCGAGAGATACAACCAACACCCGGCACTAGTAAACTTCTGGGACCCAGTCATTAATGGCAGGGCGTTCCTTACAATCCTGACCCTTACCTCTTTACAGTAAACTCCGTCCACTAACTCCCAAATCCCTTCGTCGGGGCAGCCACTCCGCTCTAGCCAGAAGGGTGGCTTTGCTCTCTCCGAGTCTCCGACGTGCTATATTTACCAAGTCTCTAACATCTTCGTCCACTCAATGGGTCGTTATCATCATCCTTTTCGTCAGGATACCCATCGTGAAAAGGGACCAACGCCCCCGGTCAGGGCCCGAAAGCCCCTCCAAGTAGTATAATCCGATCTAAAGTAAACTAAATCCCTGGTTGGTACGTGTTCTTGTCGTCAGCTGATTTATTGCAATATTTCTTTCTCATATGGTTTAGTTATTTCTATTCGGTATTATTTCTTGGGGAACAAGATATACATAGGTTACTATGTTCCTTCGAGGTATGCTTAGACTGGAGGTTGGAATGAATACGGTAAAAGGCGCCGAGTTTTGGTGTCAATTGTCCCTGCCTTTGATCAATATCTGGATTGATATCACTTTTCATACGATGCCTCTAATGCACAATTTTGCACTATTGGCTGTGATAAGTAATTAACAGAAAATAAAAATAAAAGAAAATAGTACGTAGTTATTTTATTACGCTAACCACTAGATACAGAGAGCTTTCCAGGGATTCCCGGAAAAAGTAATCTTCTCGTCACTTTTAGTTCCTGCACCGGTGTGAACTCTACTGCGTATTGAGATTACATACATGTCGTATGGTCTGGATCAGGGACAGCAACGCCTCCAAAAAGGTTTCTTTTATTCTGGAGTTCAATATCTCAATAGATCAATGAACCACGAAAGCGTCGAAGTTCAAAATAGCACCAAAAATGTCTCAACTAAGAATAATGGTCAATGTGTGACCTTTTTATAGAAAATATTCCGCGTTGACACTAGATCTACAGCCTATTGTCGAGAGCACAACCCTTCAAGCACTCGTGCTGCCGAGACAGCAATCATGCCCATCGTTACCCATCCTGGTAAGGCGCCCTTTCATCACGTCCCCAAAAGAGCCTTACGGACAAGCTTTTAGCCACGGTGTGATAGAAACTGTGGTTCTACTATATCCTGCATTAGCTACAATGTCTACTGATGCGGGTTGTTAAATCCCAATGTGTATGTGATCGGGAAACATACATTTTGTTCATTTCCTCTTGAATATCAAGATAGACCCTGCATCTCTTCTCTTGCCCGAGATAGGTTATTTTCAAGGTTGTTCTAGTAGGCTTTATTATCCACATCAGATAGAGGACGACCCCGTCCGTCTCGGGTTTAGGGCTCGGTACGAGGCCTCGGGCTTAGGTACCGTAACCGTATCATACCGGTACTATGGAGTTCACCAAGTGGAGATTGGCCGATGTACTTATCCACTTCTGGATCTTTCCTTCGTTTCTGATTCGCTTTTAATTTAATGGATGTACAACGGATATTATCCCCTCCGATATTCTGGAAAACACGGCCTTCGTTCCACCGACGACGACGACATCGGAGGGAGACCTTGAGCTGTGAAACTATTTGCACCATTGAAGCGGCCATCGATTGCAGTTTGAGTAGTGGCAAATGGAATTTACGATCGAGTAAAGAAAAAGAACCCATGATGGGTAAACTGAAACGTTAAAACGATACATGCAAATTGTACATCCTATGTGTATAGGCACAGCGAGGGATCGAATCAGCACCTGGAATGACTTCATTCTCTCGGGCTAAAACCCAGTGAACCTCTCAAAAACGTGGTTCTATCCCTTGCAGATATCCAGTGATTTTTATTCATTTATTTTTTTATTATCAATTCTTTTTTTTTTTCACCCCCGTCTTCTTCTAGTCCCTTGGTTGTCCTTCGAAACCATCGAAAGTTTCAGTTAGTAGCAGGAGTAGGATTTAATTTCGAGAACAATAGCATAGGATTCGCTCATAGCCCCTCAAGTGCATGGCTAGCAAGCTACTAGTATGCCTCCGCTCCCCTCCCCGTCTGACCCATAACAAGTACGCTAAGGCCTTCTTAGCATGCTTTATCGAGATATGGCCTGTCCATCCTGCATCGCTTCCACAGTTTAGCACGCATACGTGTTGTCAAACGTCGTCAACAACGAACCCCAGCCAACTCTGTACCACACCATTCTCTATAAACCCACCTATCCACAATCCTGTCTTCTCTTAGCTCACTCCACCCTAGGCATCAACATTGATAAAGATTGCCATAAGCTCTCTCCTCCCTGTTAGCGCCGGGCCGGAAGATGATATACACAATGTTCATCGTCGTCAAATGCTTGGCCCTGTAGTTACATGTTCCCCTCTGCGGAGAAGGCCACATTATCTACGTAGGCAATGTTGAGTGGCTCTCTGTATATGGCGTGCGCCGGCTCCATACTAACCCCAGCAGGGCATCGGGCGCTCCTGGTCATACGCGTTCATTGCCAGGTTAACGTCAGGATGTCGTCCAGATCCAGCGATTAGGTTTCGAGGCGCCTCTTCCGTCGAGTACCTCGGATTTATGCTCTACTAAAATATCTTCTGATAGTTTTATTCGGCGATGTTTTTATTTTTATTTTTATTTTTATTTTTATTTTTATTAGTTTTCCTCGCACTCGAAATCGTTCCCGTGAGCTTCCGTTAGCGAAGAGAGGGGTTGCTTATACTAAACAAGTCGGTTGCGGTAGCCAGCCATTTAGAATGGAGACTTAGGGTATGCAGGGTTGGTAATGTTTGTCATTTGCAGGGCATATTATTTATACGGCAGTGCAGAGCAAAGATTGAGTAATAGTTATGCACGTCTCGGAGCAATCTTCTCAGCTTGCTTAAGTATTGAAACCTCCTCTTCCTTCCAGCTGTTCAGAGACATCCATATTGCATAGATCATGTGTCTACATACATGGAAGCTGACAGCACGGACAAATCCCGAGAAACCGGCTGATGCACCCGTAGTCCCGCGGAATGATTGTTGATCAACGCTCGTTTGGCCCCCGGCCTTGCTTCTGATTACTCTGGACAGTCCTGCCCTACTTGCAATCTGCATAGGGTAGTATCTACTAATGTATATGTACAGCCCTGGAACAAGGTTGGCTTTTACAGATCCATGTCAAATCGTCCACCAATCCATTGGCTGATACCCCGGGGCAAGGTAGTATCAAGTACAGTAATCATACTATGCGCCTGCATAAGACCACACATACAGCAAGCACTCAGTGAGAAACCAAGCACTCCCCATTTGCTAACTGCTCATCCTTGGCACGGGGTCTTTTTCGACACTAAGAGAACACTATCCTGGTCCCTACAGTAGTAGCTGAATAGCTACATCTTAGTTCCCCTTTTAGGGATGTATCCGAAGGGGGAGTATATGTGAGTTGCGAATGTGTTTCGACGTATCAGAAGTGGTAACGAACCCCATGGACACGGCCACGTTCCTTTGGCTTTACTAGGCGAAATACCAAGACATTCGTTGACCCTCTTTTTTTTTTGGTTGTTTTTTTCATTTATTTTCCAATCTACTAGCGACAGGTTATTTCTTGTAATTACCGGATCAAGTGGAGTTCCGCTTTCACTACCGACTCTGCCTACTGGTCGAAAGCCGGCCGTAGATCATAAGCCGGTGGAGTGTAGACTCTTAAGTTTACTGGATAAGGAAGTCTTAGAGACCTAATCATTTAGGTGTCTGTATCGTATATATCGTATTCTGATCCATTGTACCGCGAAGGGGCGGGGAATCGGACATCCGATGAGGGCGGCGAGTCGGATGTCCGCTTATTCATTGTCCTTCTAGAATGTTGATATCCGAACTGGAGTTTTCTGAGGTAAGTCCTCACACGACAATCAAGTTGAAAGAAATATTCTGCCTAAAGTGGGTTATTCTCCAGTATGAACAAAGAGGGGGAAAATTACATCCCTAATGATACATACATACACGCCAATGCAGCCATGCAAAGCGGAGGGGTAAAGTAAAAGTAAACCCCTCAACCCTCATTAATGGAATGTTGGGTGTAAATCCCCTAGCGCCAAAATACCAAGACGTGTAATGAGACGACGAGCTTGTCCCTGCGTCGGGATTCGACTCCCCCGATTAATAATGCAGGACCACTTAACTTAGTCAGCGCATTAGCGGTGGGTCCGTCTTGTTCCTGGGAACCATTACTGGAGAGGCCCAGATCTTGGGTTGATTTGGCCGCACTTACTTTTTTTTCCCTCCCCTTACGGTAGTTCTCAACTGCCGTTGGATTCAGGGAAAACCCCCATGAGTAAGTCAGTCAGTCTACACTAACTCTTCTTTGCCCTGTGTTCTATCTCTTATTCGGCCGAATCTTCTTCTTTAATGCCTTTTTCTTGGCTTAATTTACTAACTCTAACTTATCTTGAACTACTAACTAGGCCCGTTAACATTGGACCTTAATCTTATTGTCGGCTCATGATTCGAGGGGGAGAAATATTAGGGAACTAGAAGACCGAAAATTACTCCGTACACCAAGACGAAATATACCAAGTTCAACAACCCACGGCACTTCTGCCGAAAATCACCCGTACCTAACAAATTTCTTGAAACACACTGTGTTTAATCACTTTAACCCTGGACCACTTGGGTTAGTTCCTGTAGCTTAATCTTTTTCTTTTTCTTTTTCGTTTTCTTTTCTTTTCTTTTTTTTTTTTCCCTCAAAACTCAAGAGCAAGTACTCCATAAGGGCAAATGAAATATGGAGAACCTAAAGAAAAGAGAAGTAGACCAATGAAAAAGAAAGATAAATTAATCTTTTATCCCTCCTGCTCTCTTTATTTTCCCTTCCTATCCTAGACGATATCGACCGTTCCCCAATCCCCTTTGAGACGAGCGAAACGTGAGATTTGGTGTAAAAAACAGCCTCACGTGGCGTTCAGTTTATACTCCTAGTAGACTAGCCTTTCTCGTTTTTGATTTATTTGAATTACAACTTACAGAACGACAATACCGGCAAAAGCGTGAAGTAGAGTTAGATAGCAGACGTCAGTTCTTCAAGCCACTAGCCGATCCCGGCAATGATGTGCAGACCGGGAAAACACGAGGTAGGGAAAAAAAACCCAAAACGAACAAGGGGGATATCATCAATGTTTATTGTTCCCTTGTTCTTGTTATTATTCTTCTTCTACTCCGCCTTCTGCCTTATGACAACAACCCTTCCAAGCTTGCGGCTGGGCCCTAGCCTCCCCGTCGTTTTCTTTGTCTGCTTCTTTTTATTTTAAGAATTCTAGTGGCGTACATACGTAGATGTCGGCGCAGGCGATACGTATATCGTGAGAGAGATGACGTGAACTGCGGCTTCGACGAGGCAAGGATCATCGCCCTTTGTGTATAGTATCGCCGGGTTAAACCTCCCGTTTAAGTTGATGGTGAAGAGAACCGGTTGGGGTAAAGGGTCGATCGGCCGTCTCAGGCTAGATCACCGTCTCAGCTCACGGAAGGATCCCGTAGGTGTGCGGAGTACGTGAATTTAGAAAAATTGGAATGAGTTAATGGGAGGGAGTAAAAAAGGTTTGGATGGACCTGAAACAAGCCATGAGGGGTCTAGACTGGTGCAGCTTAGCAATTGGCAGATGAGACATGTCGAATTTTGCTCCTAGGAGGTTATGTATCAGAATATTTTTTTTTTCTTTCCTCCTTTTTCTTCTTCTCTCCTTGCTGCTGTTCGTCTTGGTGAGGTGTGGGTTTGTACAAATGTTGTACTTTGGGTCCGAGGGGGATGCATATCCATGGGTTAGTAGAACGTGGGACGGTAGATAGGGTTCCAGTATATCAGACCGTATTATTGTTCAATAGTCTATGGTTTTTTAGGGTACCGAGTCAGTTACTTTAATGCTGCTGACTCAATCACACGATCTTCAGGGTCCGGAAGAAAGTTTGGGACGGGAAACCCTGTTTTGTTATTGTCCGTATTGGATTGTGTTAAGTTACCGGTCTGAGGGCGAACGGAGAATATTTTGACTTTTGAGTTTGTTTTCTTCGGACGGTATTGAAATTCTGGAAATACTGACGACGTGCAGTGAGACCCGGGATGTAATTGCCGTATTTCCCGACGTTTACCCTTAGCTTCTTTTACTTTCCTTCAATGTATGTGACGAGATAGTGGTGCCTTAGTAATGCGTTGATCCCATCAGGATCGGTGGCTCAGCGATTTAGGTGCTGTGGTGGATTCACAGCCCACTTCTTTTGATTACATAGTTCGATTTGGACTGCATGGAATATGTTAACGTTAAATCTTCAGATCTCATATCCTAGTCCGATATACGTACGTGCTCCGCGTACGCTCTATATGATCTCGTCTAATAACGGGATAGAGAAAGATCAGCTATCTATCACGAGACGGCACATGTCACAATGAGGAATACGTATACCCGGGAAAACAAGGCATGTTTGGGAGAAATAAGAAGAAAAATCAGCAAAGATCACCATGGTCCCTTCGCTTTTGCATTAACATCTGATAACAATCTATGAAGCATCACAGAAAAGCTTACTATACTACGTAAGCAGAGACGTCACGGAGTGGGGCCAGGACTATGACAGAGAGCGTATCGAAGACAGCAGAGACAGCTAAGCGCTGCAGGTTAATCCTGCTAACAGCCCTAGTGCTGTACACAATAAAAGATAATGAAGAGACACAGACCACTATTTAGTATCCTCGGCTTGCACACCTATCTAGACTTTTCCCTAGTCCGAAGCTTAGTGTTTTGGCCCTTGTGGCTCGTCATACGACCATACGTAAGCCAACGTTTGTGAGCCACATCTCAGTGGGACCAACCTAAGGCAACAACATTTCCCCCAGGGGTCATTGCCTTTCTCCAGAGATTGCGGCGCTTCGCTAAGATGATAACTTTATTGTTCACCTTCGACAACTTACGTAGGTGCATACGAATGCTCCGGTCCGAAGTGGGGCGGACGATGGATTAGGGCTGTCCGGTAGTAAGCACCGAAGGAGTGTGATGGATGTCAACTGGGCTTAGCTGTTGGCCTGGCCGGGGTCCATGATTCAAATCCTGTGTGGCTGGTTTCCAGCAAGGCTTTTTTTTCTTTTTCTTTTTTTTTTTTTTGCCCTTCGTTGGGTCCGCTTTTTCTTTGTTTTCATTCGCTTGGCAAATCGGATTATCCGAACAAGACTACCTCAGGTACTAATGACTACGTACTCCGTGCTAATAGTCCATCCAGGATAAAAGCGTTAGAACCGTTCAAAACTCGGCAGTATTCGGGGACCAGCTTATTCTTTCTTGTAAGCTTAATTGATGATTTGCTGACGAGTGACTGCCAAGGCCAGTAATTAATCAAATCCGAGGAGCCCTAATCCTACTAGCGGACCTCGTACTACCATCTGCCATGGTCATGGGTATTGACTGTGATGAGTATGCATGGGCAGTAAATTAGCTATCGTGAATTTTTCCACTATTGAGTGTAAATTTCCGACATGTAGCCAAACTATACAGTATAGTTGTATCAGGTTCGTGTACTTTCTGTCCGGCGGGTCGAAAAGCAGGTACCGTATAGCCTGCAGAACATTGTGGGCAACGTGTTGGATATGAGGAAACTGTCACTAGTGAGGGCCACTGAAGGATTATTGGTGTAGTTTAATGACTTGAATCTGTCATGCTGCTCTACGATGAAAAGTGTCGAGAATTCTGGTTTTGTAGCTGTATTATACTAGTCCTCAGCAGCCAAACCAGTGCATTCTAGTTGTGCGTACGCCCATACACAACAGAATTTGGGCATCTCAGACGCTCATCTTGCTGTTGTGTTCATGGCACTCATTAGTCTATCTCAGAACAAAGCAAACATGACCCCCATAGGTTGAAGACAGTTCTGTCATGACGGTCTCCGGTCGGCACCTCACTGTGAGCTCATGTCAAACCTATCTATCACCCCTTGTTGTTCACGATGAAAACTCACAACGTGTCTGTCATCTTCTTAGGAAACTCTCCGCGTCCTTCACCCGCTCCTGTCATCCTCCTCTAGTCGTCTCGCTGTCCTGACCCTGACGTATGATGCTTCCCTCCACCTCAAACCACGAGCTCGCTCATGCTCTTCTTTCAAACACTATTAAGACCCATGAGTTCAAGTGCGGGGCTCAGCGGCATCATCAGCCATAAACCCGAGAACTGACAAGCTGGTGATCCAGGCCGGTCGGGCTTGGACATTGCTCTGAGCACTTCTAGCCAGCAAAGTCTGTCATTGGCACAAAATGCACTGAATCAACGGTCTCAATGTGTAGCTAGATATCTTTCAGAATGGTCCAAGAAGGTAAGGAGACTGCCCCTTTTCCTATGCATGAGATATACTCATGGCACTTGGCACTAACAGATGCAAAGACAACTATAGGGTCAACGAGATGAAGCCGTTTACCTACACCGAGACCATTATACCAGTCACAGCTGACAGAACTTGCAAGTGATCTATACTGACGGCTTCGAGCTTCTGTCCAGCTATAACAACACTCCCAGTGGCACACTATACGGACAGCCCACAGCCATCGCACGATGTTGCGCCTTGAAACACGTGGATATTTTAGCAACAAAGTTGCCCCCCTGCCCAGCCTTGAATCCTTACACATGTGCGTGGACGCCACAACAGAAAAGCAAATCCTTTTTCTCAAAGACAGCCGGTTGTGGTTTGGTTCTAGAACCGCAATAGCTCCTATCCAATGTCATTACTCGGTTGGAAAGAAGCTACCGAGTGATGCGCTTGGACGGTTATACAAGGACGTCAGCGACGCTAGAGGGAGTATTAACAAGGCGGTATGTATCAATACCAGGTAGCATCCCGTGATCATCTTGGTTCCTAAAACCAGGGCTGTGAGTTCTCGACATGCTTCGCTGCATTCAGTGAAAGGAGATTCGAACGCGGGCTAACAACACATGCACATACAGGCTTCGAGGGTACGGTTATCATCCGGCATTGTCTATATAATATGTGTTCGTACCCTTTGGGTCACCGCGATGAGCAGTATCTGCTGAATGATTGCCATGAGTGTCAATGAGGCTCGACGTTATATGTGTCAACAAGCATAATTTTCCGAGGCTCCGACGTATGTCACTGGATCTAAGACTTTGACTTTGGTATGAGGCTAATCATACATTCATATTTTGGAGAGACGTCAAAGCCAAATGTAACGTCGGCTAATTGTGACTAATGTATGGTATGCGATGTCCCAGGCGCCACTGCAGGGATACGCAGGGACCTTCCCCTATTGTGGCTAAAGATGTCTCATATCATGCAGTAGTAGAAATCGCATGTACAAATAGAAGCAAGACTTTGTGAAGTTGCAATTATTTCATGTGATATCTTAATTGATTCTCACACCCACGCACCGACTCGACTCGACTCGACTCGACTCAGCCTGCGAAGTGCTTACACGGAGTTGGTCGAGTCGGGTATTTATAGTACACGACTAGTACAAAGCAACATTGCTCCTTCTTCTCCAATGAGCTTGGTTCGATGAGTACACATATACTTTGCTGCATTCCAATAGACTCATTTTGATCTCATCAAGTGTTCATACTGGTGAGTGGCGTGAGGATCACTACTGCTTACTACAAATATCAGCAGTTGAAAGTTTGCCCTGGCATGCCCTCCCCTCACTGGAATGTAGGTATCCCTCATTCCCTTATTGACCCAACCCCCACTTGGGTAGCACAACAAATGCCAGCCGGGAAGCCGGTGTCGGATTTCTTTGGTTTATTCATACGGCAGATTGTGTGTTCGAATTTATGGATGTTCTAGACTATGACTTTGGAAGAGCATCAGCGGGCAACCACACTATATACAACAGTCCCTCTAAGGACCAACGCGATTCGAACGCCTCAGGTATGTAGAATGTTAGCGATTGGTTTTGAACTACATAAGATGTGTGCGATTTGGCAGCTTGTGGTATCCGGGCCGACTGCTGTCCCATTCCACACAACGGCCAAGCAACCGCCAGGGGGGAATAGGGAGTCAATCGAAGGATATATCTAGCAGTTGACGATCGCTCTGACAGATCCAACTTAATACTGGATCGACCTGACGTTACTGGCTTCATATCCTCTAAGTTAATAGTTCTCTTCACCACAGCTTATTCCCTTTTCACATATCCAAACAACCTAATTTTAATTGTTTCAACTCAAGAAACATGGCGTTGCTTACCAAGGCATCATCCCTAGCTTGCCTGCTTGTCCTGGCCTTCCTGGCTCTTGCCTCTATTAGCCACTCGCGCCCCGTCACGGAAATCCCCAGATCTGGGACGTTGCATGCACGCAATGCGGACCCGGTACGTCACAAGAACATTTCTTTGATTGGCAACTGGGAAAGGAAGCCACTAACGGTGTATGACAGAGAATGATACCAGGGTCTGATGATCTGGTCGGCGATCTCTTCAAAAGTATTGATTTGGATAATCTCGCGAAACTCAACAACTGGAAGCAAAATCAAACCACAAATGAGAGTAACAGCACCGCGCCTACCAAACCACAAAGCAACGTCACCTCCAGTGCCAACCACACCGCAAAGCAGACAACCCCGAGTGGACTGGCGGACCCTGAGGGTGAACCTTCCGTGTTTGTGTCGGGCCTATTGCAATTGCTGTCGGATAAGTTCAAGCAAGCGTGGCATAGCAGTGATGAACACACCTTGAACTAGGGGTGTTCATGATTAGGAGGAGAATGTGACTGTTGATGATGGGATGCTTGGTCTGTGTTTCTTCTATTGTGTTTCGTTGATTTTTCTTTTTTCTTTCTTTTTTCACTTCATTTCTGCGTTAATGCTCTGTTGAGCTGCGAGCAGCTGGGCTCCCTCAACGAACTCTATCAACGGTGTAACGATTGATGACAGAATAGGTAATTTAATGGCGAAAAAAAAGTTCCGAAAAAAAAAATGCTAGCAATAATCACTTAGCTCGAAGAAACCTAAATGGTAACGATGACATTCTAGGAAAGGTCTTATGTCCGCATGGTTGTAGGGCCGCGACTGCGAGATCTATACTATCCTCCCGGCATACGTGATAAATCCGTACCCTTAACCCCGTGCACGGCCCGGCAAAGTTCTAGTATTCCATAGAACATACTCTCTACCACTGTTACTTACGGACTTAATCTCCACCCTACCCGTCCCTATTCCCTCTTATGGCCACATCTTGACCCCACGGATAGGTCGAATGACCGAAAATTCCAAGAATTATCGATCTCCGAAAGCAGCCAGATGGGGCGATATCCCAATTGGGTTGTGGTGATGGGGAGGCCCGCTGCAAGGTCGAAAGTTTCATATGAGCTGGAGTATACCGCCAATTCGATTTTATAAACCGCCGCTTTTTCGCCTCATCTGGGCGGAGATTCTTCGCTCCCACTTCCATTCAAACGACTTCATTTAACTTAGAGGCTTTGCACTTCAAGTCGCACTTCAAGTCGCACTTCAATTGTTCTGTTTTTCTCTGCGCTTTTCTTCCATCAACTTGAAAGCAATTTATTTATCTTGTGATATCATGCCTTCTCTTGTTGGTCGGGATGTTGGCCATACTGGCTATGGGTTGATGAGTATGTAAAGTTCTTTCTTTCTTTCACCCTTGCTATATTTCTCTTGTGAGATGCACGCTTGTCATAGTTGTGTCTTTTCTTGTCCATGATATATCATGCAAAAGCAAAAAAAAAAAAAAAAAAAAAAAAAGACGAAGAAGAAGCAAGGACCGCACCCAGAACCGAACGACGAATTGTTAACCCACCACTACAGGAATGACTTGGGTCCCTCAACCACCCCCGCAAGAACAATGCTTTGAGGCTCTGAACACCGCTCTCGCCCAGGGCTCCAATTTCTGGAACGCCGGTGAACTCTACGGCACCCCCGAATTCAACTCTCTGCATTTGCTCCATAGTTACTTCACTCAGCACCCGGAGAATGCTGACAAGGTTGTTCTCAGCATTAAGGGTGGGTTGAAGCCGGGCCAACTGGCGCCTGATGGTTCCGAGGCCAATATTCGGCGCAGTGTGGATGAGTGTCTTCGTGTGCTGGATGGGAAGAAGAAGATTGATATCTTTGAGTGTGCGAGACAGGATCCGAATACTACCGTTGAGCAGACGGTTACTATTCTTGCGCAGTTGGTTAAAGAGGGGAAGATTGGGGGTATTGGGTTGAGTGAGGTTGATGCGGAGACGATTCGGAGAGCGTATGTTTACTTAACTTTTCTTTTTCTTTTTCTTTTTTTTTACTTTTCTTGTGGTGCACCTCCGTATTTATGGTTCTTTGATCCTTGGCTTTTATGATTTACGGTTTCTACTGGATTTTTGACTAACTTGGCCATACAGACACAAGGTGCACCCAATTGCAGCCGTAGAGGTTGAGATGTCTCTGTTCGACCTCACCATCCTCCAGAACGATGTCGCGAAAGTGTGCGCGGAACTCAACATCCCCATTGTGGCATACTCGCCATTGGGACGAGGTGTCTTGGCTGGCGCCTTCACCACAGCCGCCGACATCCCCGACGGCGATTTCCGGAAGATGTTGCCCAAGTTCCAAGATGAGGCAATGAAGCAGAACATCAAGCTGGTCCATGAGGTCAATGACCTGGCCTCTCGGAAGGGCGTTGCTCCGGTTCAGATCGCACTCGCCTGGGTACTTACTCTTAGCGGCAAGCCTGGCATGCCTACGATTATCCCTATTCCTGGTGGTACCACGAGCGCCAAGGTAACACAGAACTTGCAAGCGCCTCGTCTGACTGATGCAGAGATGGCTGAGATTGATGCAATTCTGAAGCGGAATGAGATTGTTGGCGGTCGGTACTGAGGTATTACGGTACAGTAATGGATATTTCGAATTTCAATGATGCCTTGGTGCATTTGTCACTATATGAACTAAATAATAGAGAAAATTAGATTCCAATACATGGTTGCATAGCTTTAGAACGATATAGTATCCTGGCTGATTCTGCGATCGTTAGCGCTCTGTTGACTGCAATGATGTTGGTACAATCAATTGTGCAGAACGAATAGAGTCAGATCAAGTGTAGAATGTCAACATGCAATCTCACCACAGTAAACTGAGGAGATTGTCCGAATTGCAGAATTCTCGATGGAAAATCATCATGCAAGGAAAGGATTTTGATGACCGAAGTCAATGTACGTACCATTAGCCGAGATTACAGGGTGGCAGTAGTCGAATCTGCAGTTAAGTTCTGGTATATTAAATCAACTTGAATGCGTTCCATTAAGAACATCCTAGTCGTGGTGGTAATCGACTGGAAAGGCCATTTCAATTCCAGAAGATTGACACCACGACAAGAAGTGTAGTTCACAGTGAGAGAAGAGGAGCAATAAGAAAAAAGAGGAGAGGAAGAGAGAGAGAGAAAGAAGGGACGAAAATGTTGTGGGCGGTATTTGTGTCTGTCCGCAATAGCCTCGTCACGTGCCGTGCGGGCTGTATACTCGATCACCCCAGGCTTAACACCTCCATTAATTGATTGACGCTTTGTTTCCGTCGCAAGACCACCCAGTGTTAGTCCCTGTCGAACAATTGACTTCACTGATTCCTCCCGTACTATTCCTCCCCGCCTCTCTTCCAATGACCGAATCCCCGGGTTCTCCTCTCTCTTCCATCGCCTCCGACGACATGTCGGATCGCGAGGAATTGAAGCAGGGCCTCTCCCCCTCGGCCTCAAATATGCCTCCTTCTAAACGCCGTCGCACCGGCATCGCATCCTGGGATCGCAATACCCCCGTCTCAACATCCTTCCAAGATGATATTCCCCCGGCCTCCCCGTCCTCTTCCATCTCCTCGGACACCTCGGGCGACATCCCCAACTCCCCCGGCACACTGGCCCTTATCGGAGGCACTCAGGACGACGACTACAGCGGTCAAGGCAACGACCAGGTGACCGTATGCCGGTGGGAAGGGTGCGATGCAGGAGATTTGGGCAACATGGACGATCTAGTCCAGCACATTCACAACGAGCACGTCGGCAGCCGACAGAAGAAATATTCCTGCGAGTGGTCCGATTGTACTCGAAAGGGCCAAACGCATGCAAGCGGATACGCGCTGCGCGCACATATGAGAAGCCATACGAGGGAGAAGCCTTTCTACTGTGCGCTACCAGGTGCGTTCAGTCCCCTTAACAGGACGCTTATCAGGCTCAACCCTATTCGGGGTGAAGTAAAGGGCAAAGCAAAGCAAAGCAAAAGCTAACTTGCGACCAGAATGTGACCGCAGTTTCACCCGTTCAGACGCCCTCGCCAAACACATGAGAACAGTTCATGAGACAGAAGCCCTTCGACCTTCTGATCCAGTACCGAAGCATCATAATGCGCCTTCCGCCGTGGGCACCCCTGCAGGGACACCCGTGAGCAAGCTCCAGCGCATCAAGTTAAAGGTTTCCCAGCCGCCTAAAGGTGACTCCGAGCTGCCTTTTGAGCACAACAATGATGAGGGCAAATGGCTGGACTGCTATTTGGACAACTGGGCGGATTCCGGTTTCCACTGCGAGCTCGGCTTTCAGAAATATGAGAGCTCGCTTCCGCCGCAACAACTCTATCGACTTCTCCGTCGACAAATCCACTGGGCAGAGAAGGAAACAGCAAACCTCCGCGATGAGTGGGAGAAGATCATACCGAAAAGAAAACATGCATTTCTAGAAAAAGAAGCCATCTTCGAAGACGTCTGTGATGCTGAACTGCGACTATTCAGCCTCCTCATGGGCAGCGACGCCGCAGCGCCGTCGTCATCAGCCGCTGCCACAAACGGAGCAAAGAAGCAACCCGAGGCAGCAGATACAGAAATGACGCTTAACCCTGAATCAGAGTCGGCGGCAGCATGAAAGAGATAATTTACCATTTTTCTTTTCTTTTTTTTTTCTAACTTGGGTCGATTAACTTACCTCTTTTTCGGCCCTCATCTTCCCTTTCTACCACGCCTTATCCCCCTTCTCATATATCTTCTCATTCTCTTATCTTCTTTCCTGTCCTTGTCTTCTAGGGGTATAACTTTTATGAACCAAGATACCTAATCAGATCATATCTTTTACACGTTTTGGTGCACGGATTGTCAGTCATGGTGTGATTTTCTCTCTTGTTTTCGGCAACATTGGTCCTGAGTTTTGTTATTTTGTACTTTTATGGAATAGGAATTCGACCCTTGCTTTTCATTACTCCTACTATACTGTTAAAGTGTGTGATATAGATCTATATCCAAGCTGTCTAATAGAGAACAGGGCACATACGTCGTTTGTAGGGGTACAAGTGGCCCGAACCGATGCTATCTAGTTTTCCTATGCCGTATGACCAGTTGGCTATTTTCATTAGCAAGAGAAAAAACAACAGATAAATTGGAACGTAATCTTTGTTATTTTCGATTTGTCCGTGTATCAACACAGATCGCAGACAGGGTTGTCCATAGATGCAAAGACGCAGACATTTCCGACCACGAGTAGCTCAGAAATGAAATAGTAATCAGACCTCTAATGATATCTCAATATGTCTCCCAGAGGAGATGAATGATCCAAAGCAAATCAAACTCCGGCAAGGCACCGCCAATAAGATACATGAAACGAAGAGAACACCCATCACCGAAGGGCCCTCTACCAGTAAAGGGGGGTCCCTGTTGTAGAATATAACGCGAGAAGGGAGATAGTAACGAAAAGCAAAATGTGAGGCAAGGTCCGTCACTCCGCTAACAGGGAGAGGACAAGCTCAGGAAACAGATATGCGAACATGTTGGCAAGCGTTTTGCTCCAATCGCAGAACAGAAATAAATGTGAAACATAAAAAGCCAAGTTATATCATGGAAACATCATATCAAGTCCACTCATGCTCAACACTCCTTCATATATCATACCAGACGCCGTCGCCATGCTTTCCCAATGATGCATATTTACCGTGAATGAAGAAAGGAAGAAAGAAAACGAATACACCACAGAATCGAAGTGGACGATCTTTTTTGTTTTGGCTGCACCACACAAGCTCCACTAGCTTCCATTGGAAGTTGGGGCAGCAGCTGCAACTTTTTGCGCAGCCATTAACTTTCGATACATTTCTTGAAGTTTGGCTCCTCCAGCTTCTTTATTAGGCCAATGATTATCCGCAACAAAATGCCTGCTCATTTAGTCAGTGAGGGATACCGAGACAAGAAATGCGAGACAAACCATAAACGAGTCTCTAAGGAATGAACAGAGCCTTGTCCCTTCAAAGTACCATCTATAAATTCACCGATCTTACGGAGAAGATTCCGTAACTCAGAAGCCCGCTCCGCTTTATTCGGGTAGTTCTCCTTGGTAACAGCCGAGACCTTCTTGAGGTCTTCACGAATAGGCTTAAAGAAGAGGCGTGCAACGTCCTCCTTGCCTGCAGAATAACCGTTCTCACTATTCTTCCGGCGACGAACATCTTCACTGGACGCATCGGACGTCCTATGGCGGGCACGTTCGCTCTCATGAAAAGACCTTGGTCGGGAGTCGTAGTTCGGAGTGTGATGGCGTTCGACGCTATCCCTAGCCCCATGAGTATGAGAACGATGCCTTGACCGGTCCATTTCACGATGGCCTTTGCGTGAGATCGAAGGTGCCGGGGAAGCAGAAACACTAGCACTAGGGTGGGGCCGAGAGCCTTTACGGTTATTGCGGTGGTGATTTTCGACAGCCCTCTTGGCATTGACGCTTGAACCATTGGTAACTTTGTCTTTGAGAACAGATAGCAGATAATCTGCCCGGCGGACAAGGTGAACAGCGCCGGGAGATTTAGTAGACTTATCTTCTGCGTTCAGACGCTCGTTTTTCCGTTCAACCCGGTGCTCCTCCAGGAAAAACTTATCCCCAAGTGCAAGATCCGGATCATCTCGGATCTGAGCCCAGGCACCATAGCCGTGGCGTATGATGCCAATGCAAAGCATTCCATCTTCCCGGGCACCCCATGGACAGGAGTAGTCAGCCGCCTTGGTGGCTTCGGGAACCCGAAAGTTCTTGAAATCAGATACCGCGTTTGTCGCTTCCTTCAGAATCCGCATCTCAGCGGGGCGCTCAACAATAGTATATGCGTTAAGACGCTTAACACCATGTAGATCAAACAAAACAGCTTTCTTCTCCTTCTTAGTAGGCATTTTGCCGGCGTGTTCAAGAGCTTCCATCTTCTCAATATCCTCACGGACAAGAGAGGAAGCCTTTTCAGTAATCTCACGAAGTGCAGCCTTAACAGTCTCCCTATCACGGTCCAGTAGACGCGCCTCACGGATAACATCCTCTTCGCGATCATCTATATCACCATAACGCAGGAAAGCCCGCAACAGGTGGCGGTATTCCTTCTCTATAAGTGGTCGTTTGGGGTCCAGTTGCGTATTCGAATCGGATTCGTCGCCATCATCATCAAGGGAAACTTGAGCCCTCGCTTGTCTCTTTGCTTTGCGCTCTTCACGGGAATCTCGTCCATCCCCAGGCACATTACGTTTGCGTGGCCGATTTTGTTCGATAACCTCGGCGAGGTAGCGTTCGTCAGCTTTCTTTTTCTCCTCGGCCTTGATTTCCTCCAGCTGCTCCTTGGGGATAATGTCGTCCCATGTAAGGTCATCCACCTTGATATCGACGTAGTCAAAGGCCTTGAGAAATTCTTCACCGCCATCAGCCTGGATATCCTCGGCTTGTTCGGTCTGATGTAATTCAGCATTTGCAAGCACGGAGTCGATGTCAAGCTGCTCCAATTTCTCCTGGTTTCCAGTCTGTTCAAACATTCTCTGGCCACGACGCTTGAGGATACGGGAAATATCTTCAGTCGAGTTCGGTTCAGTGATGGAGATTCCATTTCGCACCATCTTGTTTTGAATCTCTGATGCCTCCTTGTCGGTGACACCACGTTGGATCGTGATGAATTCCAAAAGAAGCTTATTCCGGGCCCTCTCAATCACTTCTTCTTCTACTGTATCTTTGGAGACTAGACGGTACACGCTAACCGGCCTCGTCTGTCCAATACGATGAGCTCTTGCCATGGCCTGCAGATCGGCCTGGGGATTCCAATCCGAGTCGAACAGAATAACCGTATCAGCCGTCATGAGGTTAATTCCTAGACCACCTGCTCGTGTAGAGAGAATGAAGGCGAAATCGCTACTTCCGGGGGCATTGTAATGCTCAATGGCCAGGCGACGAGAGGCCGCCGGAATTGTTCCGTCAAGCCGTTGGTACGTATAGCCACGAAACTCCATATACTCGCCAAGAAGGTCAAGCATTTTAACCATTTGACTGAAGATTAAGACACGATGGCCATCACGTTTCAATTTCGCTAAGAGCTGGTCGAGAAGCATCATCTTGCCACTGCTGGTGATCATGGCTCTCAACACATCCTCTCTGCGAGTGCTACCATCCAAAATCTTCGCTTCGGCATTCGGAAACATGAAAGGGTGATTACTGGCTTTCTTCAATTCCATCATAATATTCAAGAGGGACTGTTTTTGGCCCTTAGCGCCGTCGTTCAGCGCAGCATAGTTTTTCGTGAGAATGTTCTTATAATACTCCAGCTGGACATCTGACAGCTCTACTCGAATGATCTTTTCCACCTTGGGAGGCAGGTCTGATTCGACTTTAGATTTCGTTCGCCGAAGCATGAAAGGTTGTATGGCTTTCGTCAGCTCCGCAAGCTTGTGAGAGGCAGCCTCCGCGTTCAAATCCATGTCGGCATCAATGTCAACCATGCCAGGATTTAAGAAGTCCAGAAGGGCAGAAAGTTCTGCGAGGTTGTTCTGAATAGGAGTACCGGTAATAAGGAGCCGAGCTGGAGACCTAAACTCGAGAAGCTTTGCATACAGCTGAGATTCACGATTCTTGAGTCGGTGTGCCTCATCGATAGCCATGAATTGCCATTTGAATTGGCTCAGGAAAGCGGAGTCTAGGAGGACATATTCATAGGTTGTTAGGAGGACGTTGAACTTCGGCCGTCGAGGATTGCCATCAATCATGAGCTCGTGCTCTCGTAAAACTGTACGAGCAGCTTCATTACCGTTATAGACAACATAATTCAGGTCGGGCGTCCAGTTATCAAACGTCTCCGCCCAGGACGGCATTGTAGACAAGGGGACGACGACCACAAAGGGCCCTTGCTGGCGTCTAACATGCCGTAGCCAGTTAATGAAAGAAACAGTCTGTACAGTTTTACCTAAACCCATTTCGTCGGCAAGAACGACGTTGCGGTTCTTGACCCAATTGAAGGCCATAAAATTGACACCCTTAACCTGAAACTCCTTCAACTCGCCGTTGCGCAAGAAGCTTGGGGTACCCTTGATGGCTTCAAATGATTTTCGGCTGGCAGGATTGGACTCCGACTTATCGGAGACTGGAGGTCGAGAGGAACGATCTAAGAAGCGATCTATTTCGCACTGAGCGATTTCACTAACGAGCTCCTCGTTTTCCCACGTGCACGAATCGTAGAAGAGGCGTTTCCATTTCACGAGGTATTCGGTTCCCTCGTCGCCTTCCCGCGTAGCAATGACTCGCTCAACCTGTTTGTAATCCTCAATGGCGTCTACGTCTCTTTCACGATCCAGGTTCCACTTTTCCCGATCCTCAGGGGCTACATCCTCGTCTTGCCTCAAACGAATTTCTTCATACAGGACCTTTCGGATGTAATTGTCAAGGCGGCGCGTGCTGCGGCAGTTTCCAAGAGACTCGGCAGTTTCCCATGTTGCGTGGTAATGGGATTTGCCTTGCCATTTTATGTAGAACTCGAAGTCATGGCGATCGAGGTCGGTATTACTAGAGTCTACACCTGCGTTCAGACGGTGGTTGAGAACAATATCCACGGCAGGACGGTCATCTTCCACTGCATTCACCCAGTAATTCTGCATTAGATCACCTGGGTCATCCTCGAACATTGAGTCATCATCGTCCTCATTGTATGTGGAAACCCTAGCAGCATTCCTTGTCGAGAAGCGGACCTCGGCATGAGAAGGTGCGCTTGCTGACGCCTGTTGTCGGCGACGTTTCGCCTTGCTTGTACGAGCACGGCTGCCCCCGTATTCGGATTCAGATGTTTCTGAATCTTCCGAGAATGAAGACTGGGTTGCAGAGCGGGAGGGGCGCTTGGAGGTTTGTTGTGAAGCTACAGGGCGCCGACGCTTTGAGCGAGGCGCCACTGCATCCGAGTCTGAGTCTGAGAGAGACTGGGCTACCTGACGTGTCGTACGAGCGCGTCCACTACGGCGAAGTCCGTACAGATCTGGGTTCTGTCTGATATAGTCCGATTCATTAACCGAGGAGGATTTCCGTTTTGTCCCCCGGCCGGATTCAGATGATGAAGAATTTTCGCTGCTGGACTGGCTACTGTCCTTCGCGTTGTCCTCCATTGCAGAATCATCGTCGTACCCTTCTGCATCAGGAGAGTCGGCGTTGAAGGACTCGTCCGCGGCGTCAGGATCCGGGGAAGAGTCGGAAACGACATGGTTGTCAACAGAATCGAACATGTTGCTGTCACCATCACTAGCTAAAGGCTCATTCCTAAAGCTGGCAGTGTCGGAGGCAGGGGAGTCCGGATGGCCATTGGCGAAAGCCATCGCGATCGAGGGCTCTGAGGTAGATGGGATCACCATGCTAGTAGCTATGTGAGAAGAGACATTAGCATTGAAGCTCAGGACAGGCCTGGCGAGGGATGAAAGATACAGCGCGACATAAAACAGCAGTACGCGACTCAGTTTCCGATCATTAGGAGCCTGGAAGTCAAGACAATCAGGTAGTAGGCAGGATATGATGCACGGATGTTATTTTTGATGGAAGCTCTGATGGAACGCGACGAAGAGGGTTGATGTGAGTATTATAATTGTAGGGAAAAAATCATAGGCAAAACCAGACCCAGGAGAAGAGCTACATCCAGACCTTGACCTAAAGGAATTCAGAAAACCTCAACACAAGATATGGAGAGGAATTCTTGTGTTTCTCGGTGGGTCGAGACCGTGGAGAAGTACCCCAGCCGACAGTACCAGGACACGTCTTGAAAAGGCTAGAAAAGAAGAATAAAATACTCACAATCCATAGCTTGGTGACCCCAAGGCAGGATAAATTGAGGGAAAATATGGTGAAAAAGGAAAAGAGCGAGGTGGGGAAGAGGGGGGGGATGAAGTGGTGGAGAGGGCGAGAAATGAAGACCGCTGAGAATATGATGAGGGAGTAGAAAGAGAGTTGTACGTCGGCTGGAGGTGAGCAAGTCTCCGTGAAGGGATTGGCCGGCAGCCTGATCCTTCAGGCTGTCACAGCCCACCATCCTCTGTGTGGCTTAGCGCCGGCACAAGCGAGACTCCAATAGGCTTCACGGCGCCGGCTTATCACGTGTTTCGGACTGTCGGATCATATGATATTCCGGAGAAAAATCGGGGGACTCATCCACCCACCAATAATAAGCGGAGGAAATAATGCTGTCATGCTTTATGCCTGAGGCAGGAACAGTTGCCCACAATGCCTGACATAGTTTTCTTCTCCAAGCCCCTCTTCCTCGAGGCCTTTCAGCACTGTCCTTTCCTCCACTTCAATACCTGCTGGCAATCTACTTGCGCAGTTATCTGGTGTCTCTTCTCTTCCGCCAGCACGACTGGAGCAGTGTCAAGTTTTCTGCCCGGTAGAGGCCACTCCACTGTGGACATTGCTCTTGCAACTACTTATACATATATATAGCCATCAGTCGCCACATTTGCGCGTCGATACGACTTGAACAGGCACCATGTCTGACAAGCTTACCAGGTATGGTCCCTTATGGTGTGATTAATGTCGTATACATAAAAGCATTTCCTAATACAATTTTGTTTATAGAATTGCTATTGTCAACAGTGACAAAGTAAGTTCAAAAGTGCCCCGCTGTCGATTATCTAGGTATACGACTTTTTTTGCTCACGCATACTTTTTTCATTCAATCAGTGCAAACCGAAGGTACGCGATACCGCATCTGCTTTCTATTCCATTCACAGAGTGATACTTATATATTCGCAGAAATGTCGCCAGGAATGTAAGAAGGCTTGTCCCGTCGTCCGTACGGGTAAGCTTTGTATCGAGGTCACCCCCGAATCGAAGATCGCCTTCATTTCCGAGCGCCTCTGTATCGGTTGCGGTATCTGTCCTAAGAAATGTCCTTTCGGTGCGATTCATATTATCAACCTGCCGACCAACCTGGAGACCCAGGTCACCCACCGTTACTCCGCGAACAGTTTCAAGCTTCACCGTCTTCCCATGCCTCGTCCTGGACAGGTCCTTGGTCTTGTCGGCACAAACGGTATCGGAAAGAGTACCGCGCTGAAGATTCTTAGCGGCAAGCTAAAGCCTAACCTTGGACGTTATGACAACCCTCCTGACTGGGAAGAAATTTTGAAGTATTTCCGTGGTTCCGAACTGCAGAGTACGTTTCCTTTTGGCGCCGCGAAGAAGGAAACAATGGTTGCTAATACTATGCAGACTATTTCACCAAAGTGCTGGAAGATGACCTGAAGGCCGTTGTAAAGCCTCAGTATGTCGATCAGATCCCTAGGGCAGTGAAGGGTCCAGTCCAGAATGTCGGCGATCTCATCAAAGCTCGTGCTCAGATGGACAACATGGAGCACATTCTTGATGTCCTTGGTTTGTACAACTTACACGCTAGGCTTGTTCTATCGCTAACCAGGATTTTTCACAGAGCTTCGCCAAGTTCAAGGACGTGACATTGGTCATCTTTCTGGAGGAGAGCTTCAGCGATTCGCCATTGGTCTGGTCTGCGTCCAAAAGGCCGATGTGTAAGACGGATTTGCCCGATTTTATGCTTGTGGCCTTGATTCTGACGGAGTTATAGTTACATGTTTGACGAACCGTCGTCGTATCTTGATGTCAAGCAGCGTCTCGCTGCCGCGCGTACAATCCGAGAGCTTCTGCGACCCGACGACTATGTTATCGTTGTTGAGCACGATCTGGCTGTCCTTGATTACCTTTCCGATTTTGTTTGCGTGCTTTACGGAAGGCCTGCAGTTTATGGTGTGGTCACATTGCCCTCTTCGGTTCGTGAAGGTATCAATATCTTCTTGGATGGTCATATCCCGACTGAGAACCTTCGATTCCGAGAGGAATCTCTCACCTTCCGTCTCGCCGAGGCAGGTGATGACTTCATGGTTAACAGAGACCGTGCTTTCAGCTATCCAAGCATGGAGAAAACTCTTGGTAACTTCCACTTGAAGATCGATGCCGGCAACTTCACAGACTCGGAGATTGTCGTCATGATGGGAGAGAATGGTACCGGCAAGACCACTTTCTGTAAGATGCTCGCTGGCGCCGAGAAGCCCGATAACAATGTCTCGGTGCCCAAGTTGAACATCAGCATGAAGCCTCAGAAGATTACCCCCAAGTTCCAAGGCACTGTCCGTCAGTTGTTCTTCAAGCGTATCAAGGCTGCTTTCTTGTCGCCACAGTTCCAGACCGACGTCTACAAGCCCCTTAAGATCGACGATTTCATTGACCAGGAGGTCCAGAACCTGTCTGGTGGTGAATTGCAGCGTGTTGCTATCGTCCTGGCTCTCGGAATCCCCGCCGACATTTACCTGATTGACGAGCCTAGTGCTTATCTCGACTCCGAGCAGCGTATCGTGGCCGCGAGGGTCATCAAGCGTTTCATTATGCACACCAAAAAGACCGCTTTCATTGTCGAGCACGATTTTATCATGTCTACTTATCTTGCTGACAGAGTCATTGTTTTCGACGGCAAGCCTTCCATCGATGCTCACGCCAACGCTCCCGAATCTCTGGTTACCGGCTGCAACAGTTTCTTGCAGAGCCTGGATGTTACCTTCCGCCGTGATCCCAACAGTTACCGCCCTCGTATCAACAAGTACCAGAGTCAGATGGACCAGGAACAGAAGTTGAGCGGCAACTACGTAAGTCTCTTTGGCTAGTATTGCACATGAATTTTATGCTAACATTTATCTTCTTTAGTTCTTCCTGGAGGAAGAGAATTGAAAAGGTTGTCCCAGGGAAGCATGACCGCGACCGTCATAGAGATTATGATGATCGCGACTCCCATCGGCGGCAAGATCGACGTCGCGGGAAACGGAGGGACCTTTGGTTAGTGGCGTTTTTCGGCGTTACCAAGGCTTCAACTCAAACTAGGCGGCGCCGTCTTCGTGGTGTGCGCCCTCTTGGTGATATGGATGGTGCTTCGGAGGAGGAAGACGATGAAGAAGACAACAATGACTAGGGCCGGTGTTTTACCTGTTCCAGTCCGCTTCGCTGCGTCTAGTTGTCGTCTCTCATTGTTGTCCTTCTCACACCCACACCCACACCCACACCTCTGTCCGCTAAATTAACTTTTTGTCTTCACCATGTTCGTACGTGGAGACATAGGACCCTAGTTCAAATGGGGGATTTTTTGGGTAATGGTTTTTTGGATGGCGTGATCATGCGGAGTTGTGATTGTCAAAAGTTTTGATGATTTTATGGCATAGATGGTCACTTGGCCGACATGTAGATGATTCAGCGAAGGCAAAGGGACTGGATATAGGTCAAGATAGCTGACCATAGTTCATATTCTTCACTTGTCTGTGAGCAGCCTCGTTACTCATACTCGTATTGTATATATGGTAGATGAATGAAGTAGTGTTCGCTTGTTGCAATTTGCGTGTGATACTGGGTACGCCCAAGTTACTGGTTATATAAGAAATTCAGATATTCCAGTGACTTTTAAGGTTGGCGGGTCAAAGACCTTTTGTATCCCAAGTGCCTTGACAAAGATCGTGAGTATCTTAAGCGGGAACATCCAATCGATAACTCCTGGGAAATCTCTGAGCATACATCTAGGTACTATATTATAATCATGATATATAATTTTCGTCGCCTTCAAGTTCATTTAGGCATCCTCAGTGACATGGTCCTTGTTAATGCTCACACCATGATACTACTTCGGATAGTAACAAAACCCGAATATATATCTTCCCGCCTTGAGAGAATAACCAACGTCTGGATCATTCAAACCGGCAGTCTATGTAAATAGAAACAGTTATAGCAGCAAGAGGCTCCTTTCTATGTTTTAAGATACCCAACGACTAAAAGCCGTGTATTGGAACATGTCTTTCGCGTTTTCAGAAACTTGGGTACGGATGAGTACCCTAACTCAGGATGAACCCATATGTCTGGAACGAAGTGCTAGAAGAAGCGAAGCACGAGGAGATATCATAAATAGTACAGAGTTGTCTGAGACTCTGCAGGCACTGGTAAGGATATGCTCTCTAAGACCGCTCTGAGAAACCACGCGATAACAAGACCAGGGTTGAGGACTCGTTCAATTTGGCTTGTCTTGGCCAATAGCAAGATTGGTGACTATGATTTGATATTAATCTTTGATCTTGGCACTGGATGTCTCTTGTCGTTGCTCTTTGTGAAAGGATTTTTGTCATGATAACCCGAAGACTTTAGGGTTTATTTCAATCATATACCGTGATTTATTAGAAAAGCTAGGGATTGGAGCAATGTCAATTGTCTTGTCTTTGGCAAGAGCAACTCGGTATAAGTTAAACCATCTATTACCTGGCACAGGTAGATAGTCTAGGTATAACCCTTCCCAAGCCATTGCCTTAAGCTGTCCTGTTTGCACCCTTCTTTAAATGCTCATAGGCCAGACCACCTATCTGCCTACATATTTAGTGCCCTAGATTATTGCCCAGCGCCCCATTCAGGCTTGGGGTCTCGGTAGCAAGTTGATATGGAGCGTAATATATAATAAGTATATGGGGCAAACCCAAATACTTCCCCAAGGGTGTAAGTATCCAGGAGTTATTCGATTTGTTTCTTTACAGCTGGTGTAATCACCTCCGATCCTCAGGCTGGTCGTTTACGCTGCTTTAATCATCTTGGATCATGAGGAAGCATGTGTATTAGAGTGATCTGCCAACAACGGGGTTGGTTCCAGAGGAGGCTGGGAGAGTCTATATAGCTTTACACGTCCTTACCGACTGTTCAGTGTCAGCCATCGTCCTCCTGGATAGGGCCAAGACAGACGTGTGATTAACTAAGGTTGCCATTTAAGAGGCACTAGACACTGCTAACCTTGGTGTGGAGATAATAACATCAAAGTTGACAAGCTGCTCGCAGTATGCTCTGATGAGGGGAGAGACCACGATTTAGGTTCTGGATAGTCCGGTGCACATATTAACGTTAAGAGGGTGGGATAAGCATATTTTCTATGCCTATAACCCTTTTTTGTTCACTTGAAATAGATGTACTGACTTCCTAACTGCATACCCATTCATAATAATGATACTTAAAAATACTAATCCTCCTCGATCTCTCCTTCTTCACTACCAGAATGAACGGCCTTCTCCTCCTTCTTTGCTTCCTCTACGGCTGGGGTGCGCTCGCGACGGTCTTTGTCACGCTTGGGACCTCCACTGCGCTCCCGTTCGCGGCTGTCGCGACGATAACGTTTAGCAGAGCGGCTGGCAACGCTTTCTGTATCGCTATCACGCCTGCGCCGACGGTCGTTGCTGACAGTGCTTCGAGTGTCAGCACCGTAGTCCAGTTCGTCGCGATTGCCCCGGGGATCACCGCGGGTGCGATAGAGTCTTTCACGCTCTTCTTCCCGGTCGCGGCGTTCGCGGTCATAGTGGCTGAGAGAACGAGTGCTTCGTTCACGATCCCAATCGCGCTCACGATCACGCTCACGCTCACGCTCACGGTAGCGGTCCCTGTCTCGGTCTCTTTCTCGATCACGCTCTTCTCGCCTCTCTCGCACCGGTGAGAGCCCACTAACCTTCCGGTAGGAACGCTCGCGGTCTGCCTGGGCTTTACGCCGGTCCGCCTCGTAGGCATCCGGTTCTGGGGTGCGACTAAGACGACTAGAAGCTCCTCGCCTCTCGCCTCTATAGCTACGATGATCACGGTCACTGCGGTCATAATGATCGCGTCGGCTACCACGATCACGGTCACGGTCCCGATCGACATCCTCTTCCTTCTCTTTTAGGCGGCGGATGAACTTGTCAAAAGCAGCCTGTCGGAGTTCATCCGATTCGATGGCCTTATACTCCTCGTACTTTTCTACCCTGGGCCGCACTTGATCCCAAGTATCTGTCGGTCGGACAGGAGGCTCCAGACGTTTGATCCGCGAGCGTAGGGCATCAACAGCACGGCGCTGATGACGATCGGCCGCATGCTTTTCCTCTTCAGTCCGTCGAATTGCTTTATCCTGAATGCGCTGGAAGATAAGTTGAAGGATCTCTTGATCAAGATTGGCCGTGCGGCGATCGGCAAGCACGATGGCATTGAATTCCTCGAAGGTAGTCTTAGGCGTAACATCGAAGCGTTTGTCCTGCGAAAGGCGTGTTAGTAGACATATAGCAAATAAGTCAGGACCACTCACGTCAAGAACATCCAAAACATCATTTCGCGGGCCTCGAAGCGACCGCTCTTCCTCCTCGAGCACATCCCAAAAGAGATCTAGGGGAGATGAACCCGAATTACCCAAAATTCCAAGATAACGCGTGTCTTCTTTAATCAGTGGGTAGATGCTCATCCATTTGCTGCCGGCTTTGATCTTGCCCTGAGACCTCAGCTCTTTCAAAAGTTCAGTGAACTGCTCACGAGCATGACGCTCTTTTCTTGCCTTTGCGGCTTTCTGTTGTTGACGCGCATCGTTGAATGCCCGCTCAAGAGACTTGATATGGTTTTCAAAGACAGTCAAAATATCGGACTTGCTGAGGGATTTGAACTTATCGTCATTTCGCACCTGGTCATTTGACTGGATGATAGCATGCGCTTCAGACCACCGCGTGTATGGCTCGAGCTCGAGTGACTTCAGGATATTTACCAGCTCATCCATTGCAGCTTTACGCTTAACGGATTCCTGTTCGGCGTGTTCTTTCTTGAGTTCAAGAACATACTCCTCGAAGAGTTGGCGTCTTTCATCCTCATCGTCGGTTGATCTGAAGATAGTCTCGCCCTCAATGATCGGCCGAATGGTCTTCCAGCGACTATAATGCTTGATTTCAGGATGACGCTTCAGCATGGTATTGAAATCTGCTCTGAGCTTAGCGAATCTTTCTTTCGCCCTATCCTTTTCCTGCATGCGAACCTCGACCGCGTATTTTTCAAAGGCTGTCTTGCGGTCTTTGGGGTCTTTCAGAGCACGGTATTGAGGATCCTTAACTGTCGCGCGAATAGTTTGTTCCCAAGACCAATCCGGTTGTACGTTATGGCGTCTGAGCATTTTCATGAACGCATTTTCCGCCTCCTCAAGTGAGCCGTACTCTGGCTCTGTAGTCGCCCCCAGCATAGGGGCAGCCACAAGCCCGTTGGCATCACCGGAACCATATCCGCCACGCCTATCGCCATATCCTCGGTCGTACTCATCGCGTTCACGCTGCTGTGGATAGGAGGAAAACGAGCTAACACCGCCCGCGACAAACGTCGGCGCCCTATGCGCATAGGTCAGTATGTGAAAATCCAAGAGAAAATAGATATATAAACGTTCTAAGGTCAAAAGACATACGCTGCGGGTGGAGGTTGGGCCGTCTGAGCTTGCGCTAAAGCATTCTTATAGACATCTGGTATCTCCCAAGTGCTTTGCTTGGTTTCCGTATTGTACCAGTACTTTCGACCACCATCGGCAGTATACTCTTTCCATGGTTGGTTCGCCAAAGCACGCTATAGAATAAGACCAGGTTAGTAGATATAAACGTAGATCATGGGAGAAAACGTACCTCAACGGGTGTCATCAATTCCACAGGCTTATTCCATTGTGTGGCTTTTGTCTGGACATTGTAATAGTATACCCTTCCATCGGTGTTGCGAGCCTCCTGCCAAAGAGGAGGCGCCCCTGGGCCATTCATCGGATTCATAATGTTTGCGAGTAGTTCCCCAGAGGAACAGTGCTGTCGTTTAGATGGAACACGCGCGGAGCTCGAAAAAGTAGCGTCCGAAGCTCTGCCGTTCCTTTCACGAAATATGTTTGCGTTGTTTGCACCTGCACCCATACACCAAGCATCATCTCCGACGACCCTCGAAACTCTTTGTAAATTGGACGTACATTGACAGAGTTCATTGGGCAATTCGCTCTAATTATCGTGATTGTCGCATGTCGCTTGCTACCTCTATTTGGTAGATGGGCATACGGTAGTTGTTTTCACAATGCCGAGCCTCGAAATCCCTGGGGAATTTCTAAGACATTCTGTGCTAGATACAGTTGTCCCGCATGCTTCAGATATAGATCTGGAGGCGGCGCTGACATCTGCCTTGGAAGGGGGAGCGGATGATTTATCGTCTGTTCTCTCATTCATACCTCAGCGCTCACTCCTGTTCTTTGGTATGTAAATGTCTGGTATCCTAATCGAGCTGTCTCTTACTCATAGATAGTTTCATACAGATGAGTTCTGCACCGCCCGCATTGTTCTGAGGCTTTCCAACTGCTCGCAGGCGAGCCTAAAACACCAACTTCAGCGCCTGGAAGTGAAGCTCGACGTCTTCGCCATCGATCCAGCTGAAACAGTTGCTGAGAACCCGACACCTACTAGGGACCTAATATTCTCAGGGGTTGTAAAGAGGGACGAAGAACCGCTAGTAGTGGTGAATGAATTCGAAGGGGAGGCAGAAAGTGGTAACCATGTCTACGTGATTTGGAGCATTGAGACGTTCCTCAGTACGGGCCGCCATGTCTAAGATCTACCAGCCCATTTCACTAACCGTGCCAGAACGCCCTCGCATACGTATTCAGCACCCCTCTCTTCTGTTCATTGCATCTGTTAGCCTCAACCCGTCTGAAAGCCGACAACAGGAGTCTCGTGACGATGACTATCTTCCTTCATTGATACCTGCATCTACAAACATTCTGCAGCCATTGTCGTCTGATAACGCTTTTCCGCAGAAGGATCCTTTTCTGCCAGCCTCTAGACTTCTGCGGGTTGTACCGGCGCAATACAGCGAAGATCCTATCTATAACGTCCAGCAACAATCAGGCCATCCGATAAGGGTTGTACCTGCAGCCAGTGCAAGGATACGATACTCTCGGCTGAATTCTTATTCGGGACGGCCGACAACTGTGGCAAGCCTTGATTTCGAGGTGACACCTTTCCTCAATTGTGAAGTTGTCTTCGATAAAGCAGAGCTACACATGTCAGATGGGACAATCGAAACCCTCTCTGATGCGTCTGGGCTAGTTCCGCCCATATCGTGCCGTCCACGGGATGACGTTACTTTGATATATAAACTGACACCAGAATATGGCCCAGATCCTAATCCCTCGACAACGGTGATGGTCAGCATCTTAGACATCCGTTTGGAGGCCATCATTAAACTCTCAAACAATTGCAACCCGCGGATTCTGATGCAATGGAGGACAAATGTTGATTTTTCTATGGCCCTCAACCCTATGTTTGGTGGACCGAGTCAGGCTTTGCAAAGGACCAACCGGCCGGCTAGTCTTCCTATGACGCCAAATCAATCTAATACTGCTGCTGGCGGGCCTCCTAGCAGAAGCTCCTTCCGAGAAAGGGCATACTCTGTAGCGGATATGGGAGTGACTGTGTCCTTTTCTGGCCCTGCTAGTGTGGTGGTCGGGAAACCCTTCTCTTGGAAAGTCTTCATCGTCAATCGGTCAACAACGCCTCGTAAATTCGCTTTGATTGCCATTCCACGAAGGAAGCGAGCTGATCCAAGGAGTCACGTAGCCCGACCATCGTCCTCATCGCTCACAAGTCGGCGGGAGGATCAAGTTGCCGAAGCCGTGACAGATGACAATATCGTTCATGCCATGCAGAAGAGTGTGGTAGGGCAAGAGGTAGAGCTGGTCTGTCTGAGCACGGATCTTCGAGTTGGGTAAGTCTCACCTAACTGCACAAGTGATTTACCATATTACAGATAGACTAACTCGATGTGTTTGAATAGTCCACTTTTACCCGGGACATGCTTTGCGACCGAACTAAAGCTGCTACCGTTGGCAGTGGGGGCGCTCCATTTAGAAGCCGTGCGTCTTGTGGAAGTCAACACGAACGAGACTACAGACATCAAAGATCTCCCAGATATCCTATCCTTTGATAGGAAAGGAGTACCACCTCAGGATACGAATTAGACCACCGCACATACACAATGTTATCGATATGAAATGCAGGAATGGCTCCTGTGTACGGAGTAGATATATAGACTTTCATGTGACCTTAGGATCGGCGGCTAACGTGCAGCGAGAGTACTCCTCTGGAGGAATACTTCCATTAATTACTTACTATTTATAACCATGGAGGCAATAATAGAAGACCGTAAAAGAAAAAGGGGGCCAAAAGAGATCCTCCTGGTCTGGTCAATCCTACAGTGAACCAGTCTATGATGCAACCTAATGATTCGGCCCCAGAGGCAGAAAAATATGCAAAGCGGAAGGCGGCGGCAAGGCGGATACAATGACTGGGCAGCTGATCTCAGAGTGGGATTGGATCTACGCGCCCGCAAATTCAATACCACAATTAAATACGGCAGCCTTATTACCTCTCCGACACCGACACACGACAATCTGAAACTCCCTTCAAGTCTCCATCCCCGAGCTGGACAGGGTGATCGACCTTCATCGTTGGTTATATAGTGGAGACCTATCCCACTGACGTCGGTAAATATTCCATATATTTTGACTGGGTTAGCGTTGTGGGTTTCTTGTCCAACTTGCCTCCCTTCTTTTGCCCTTGACCTCTCCTTTGCGTCATACTGGCTGGATCCCGCCGAGCGGAATCTTGCCTTCGCCTTCGATCCTTTTCCACTCCGATTATCTATTAGTTTTCGGTTTCAATTAGCTTCACCATGTTCTCCACGGCGCGTCGAAGAATTCTGGATGGACTCAACCGGAGATACATCTATGGCCGTTTGGTAAGTTGTTAGAACACCCATGGCTTTTCTAAAAGCATTTATTATATACTGTCCTCTCTGTTCTGCGCAATCACTTGACGGTTACCCTTTGCTAACTTCTTGTATATAGCCCCTGCTCCACAGCATAATTTTCCTGATCGAAATGGCGGTTGCGATGCGGCTGGCGGCCAAATTCAACTCTTACTATGCAGAGAAACCGGGTAAGCCTCTTGTTATTGGTGTCTAATGCGTCAAGGGCAACAAGCTAATACAGTCTGTAGTACTGACTACTATGGTGACCAATGCGGTAAATACCACCTATGCCAACATCTTTGTTTCCAACGAACGCAACTAATCTTGAATGCCGTAGGTCCTCGGTGGAGTCGCGGATACAGTTGCGCAGCTGATCACTGCCTTCAAAGCTCGACCGGGCCGACCGAATTATGATCCTAGTGATCTCATCTCAATCGAAATTCATGATCTCGATAAGGAAAAGCCACCAGCTCTTGGGGAGCTGGGTCACGCGAGGCACTTGCCTCCGCCTTTCGATTTCGAGCGACTGACCCGATTCATGTCGTATGGTTTCTTCATGGCACCGATCCAGTTCAAGTGGTTTGGATTTTTATCTCGGACATTCCCTCTCACCAAGAAAAACCCGACCATTCCGGCCTTGAAGCGAGTTGCTGTAGATCAGCTTCTCTTCGCGCCTTTCGGTACGGCTATCTACGAACTGCAGGATATATATGGGATGCTAACAGCGCTACAGGTCTGGTATGTTTCTTTACCTTCATGACACTCGCCGAAGGTGGTGGGCGTAGAGCCTTGACACGCAAATTTCAGGACGTTTACCTGCCTACTCTGAAGGCCAATTTCGTCCTCTGGCCAGCTGTGCAGGTTCTTAACTTCCGAGTCGTTCCAATCCAGTTCCAAATTGTAAGTGTTGCCTTGTTACTCCAGGCCACCAAGTTGAGACTATAATGCTAACTCCATTGTTTCTTTTTCGTAGCCATTTGTGTCCTCTATTGGTATCGCTTGGACTGCGTACTTGTCTTTGACCAACTCTTCCGAGGAGGAAGATTGATTAAATCGCCTGCGATGATGATATGAATGGTTTCGGGAGGGTTTCGGATCGTCAGTCATTTCACATTTGTCGCTCTTTGTCTTTCTTTTGTGTCACTAGATGTTTATTGGGCGTTGTCTATTATCGTTGGGGTTCTGCTGCCTTCTTCTTATGGCTGGTGTCTTGGTCTTTTCCCCTTCGGTGGGACGGTTCAAAAGGTGTCAATTTCACTGCTGGTTGTTTTCACACGCATATCATTACACAAGGTGGAACACCATCTACGCATTGTTTCACCGAGCTTCTGTCATATGATTTTCACCGTAGATCTCGAGGTGGTATAATGCCAATCCGACTAAGTGCTATGGATGGTTCTTTCTGCTTCCATCATGGGCGGGCGGACGAGGAACGTCCTAGGAGGAATAGGAAGAGAGAGGGGCAGAACCCCTCTATCCTTCCGTACGAGAACGGCAGAGCGGTAGTATATAATTCCATTACTTGAAGCAAAGCGATCTACATTAGCTCGATCCGAGGCTATCGAGAATAAAAGCATCTGGAGTCCCCTGAGGTCCCCGGACCCTTCCGTCATCATTGACATCAGTCCCGCAACAGTCCGATGCGTCAGCGAATCTCTCACCGGTGGCCCCACCAAACGAGACAAAACAATGTTCCTCTACCCCGCCGCTGAACCGATCGCTTCTATCAGGAGACTGGCGTTCACCGCGAAACGTATTGAGTATTTCTAAACATCCCACTCGCTCATTTAAAAGGTACTCCGTCCCCCCTTCTTGCTGCTCTGACCTTCCACGCTGACCAACCCCACCTTGTGTGATAGAACATCGTCCATCATGTCTCTTTCCAACAAGCTTGCCATCACCGATGTCGACCTTAAGGACAAGCGCGTCTTGATCCGTGTATGTACCTACACCGAATGAAACTCGTGCATTCGCGCGGACCAGCCAATGCTAACGTTTGGTGTTTCATAGGTCGACTTCAACGTTCCTCTCGATGCCAACAAGAACATCACCAACAACCAGCGTATCGTCGGTGCTCTGCCTACCATCAAGTACGCTATTGAGAATGGTGCTAAGGCCGTTGTCCTCATGTCCCACCTCGGCCGCCCCGATGGCAAGGTCAACCCCAAGTACAGCCTGGAGCCTGTTGTTGCTGAGCTGGAGAAGCTGCTTGGCAAGACCGTCATCTTCGCCAAGAACTGCGTCGGCAAGGAGACTGAGGAGATTGTGAACAAGGCCACCGGCGGCCAGATCATCCTCCTTGAGAACCTGCGCTTCCACGCCGAGGAGGAGGGCAGCTCCAAGGATGCCGAGGGCAAGAAGGTTAAGGCCGACAAGGAGAACGTCGAAGAGTTCCGCAAGGGATTGACTGCTCTCGGTGACGTCTACATCAGTAAGCTCTAATGGGTGTCCAATTGACTTTCGTATTCCTGTGCTAATTTTTGTCTCTTAGACGACGCTTTCGGAACTGCCCACCGTGCTCACAGCTCCATGGTCGGTGTCAACCTTCCCCAGAAGGCTTCTGGCTTCCTGGTGAAGAAGGAACTTGAGTACTTCGCCAAGGCTTTGGAAAGCCCCCAGCGCCCCTTCCTGGCCATTCTGGGAGGTGCCAAGGTCTCTGACAAGATCCAGCTGATCGACAACCTGTTGCCCAAGGTCAACAGCCTGATCATCACTGGTGCTATGGCCTTCACCTTCAAGAAGACCCTCGAGAATGTCAAGATCGGCAACAGCTTGTTCGATGAGGCCGGTAGCAAGATTGTCGGCGAGATCGTTGAGAAGGCCAAGAAGAACAATGTCGAGATTGTTCTGCCCGTTGACTACGTGACCGCTGACAAGTTCGCCGCTGATGCCAAGACTGGCTATGCCACCGATGCTGACGGTATCCCCGATGGATACATGGGCCTGGATGTCGGTGAGAAGAGTGTTGAGCTGTACAAGAAGACCATTGCCGAGGCCAAGACCATCCTCTGGAACGGTCCCCCTGGTGTCTTCGAGCTGGAGCCCTTCGCCAACGCTACCAAGAAGACCCTTGATGCTGCTGTTGCGGCTGCTCAGTCTGGTTCCATTGTTATCATCGGCGGTGGTGACACCGCAACCGTCGCCGCCAAGTACGGTGCCGAGGACAAGCTCAGCCACGTCTCCACCGGTGGTGGTGCATCCCTGGAGCTTCTTGAGGGCAAGGAGCTCCCTGGTGTTGCTGCTCTGTCAAGTAAGTAAGCAAAACGCAAATAATGTGTTGAAAGGGGGAAGCGTCGGGCATTCTCTTCATGTCCAGCATGTCTTCTCGCTTATGAGGGACGTTTAACTTTCATAAATGTAATGTACATGAGACGATAAATTAATCCAAAATTAGCTATTCTGTTCAATTTTTGCATGATTAGAAGAAAGGTTCTGATGATAGAGTGCTATAACATAGTGTTGGGTCCTAAGCTGTGATTGTCGTAAGTGACTAGGGCTGGACGACGGAACTCAATCTGGGGTGGGATGGACTTTGAATTCGTTTCACAATTAAATTGTAGATACTGATAGAATACGTGACGAACAAAATTCAAGTCGTCGCCTCTTCTCGACTGTAGGCCTGCCGTTAAGTATCCTGTCATAGGTTGCCTCAACTGCACATCCTCAATCCCAATACAGTGCAGTTCAAGGAAGATTCGAAGTAAATTCTCCAAGCACCGAGATCTAGCTTAGCCCCGTTGTGTGGTTATGTATAGCGTTTCGTCTTGTATAATTGTAATTCCACGGTCAATTAATTCATTGAGCTGTCATTCATCTCGCAAACCGATACCACGCCACTCTGCATACTAACGGGATGCTTCGACCTTCTTCAGTTCCTCCCTGCAATGAAACCAACAATATTAGTACCATATCTTGTAATATGAATAAGCCACAATGGCACCGAGCTCCTAGCAACTACTAGAGCTGGGGCCACCGTGGCCACCATAGGGGACCAATACGCACTTCAACTGCTTCGAGAAGTCCTCAGCGGCATCATCGTCATCCCAGCTCTCTTCCCAGAGATGATTATTAGCGCCGTTTGCTGATCCAGATGCTTGTTCGGTTTCTTCTTGTGGCCAGTCTGTAGATAGAAACCGTCGGTCAGCGCAAACTCTCACCTCACGGAGCAATCGAAGCTTCCAGTAACGCAATCTGGTCGCTGGTCTTCCTTGCTATTTTCACCGGGCGGAATCCACTAATATTGTCTGACCTTCAATGGGGAAATCCTCGAACTCGTCGTCTTCCTCCAACACGGGGGGCTTCTGCTGTTGGGGTTGCTGCGAAGCTTCGGGCTTATCGTGGGATTGCGTTGAGTTCGACATAGTGGGTGGGGGAGAGAACGATGTGTTCGGTGGAGAGGAATAGGCGATAGACCAAATATGTTATTAAATGTGGATATTCAGGAATAGCTCAACTGGGAAAGAACCGGAGAGCTACACAAGTGGTGATTATTAGAGTTGATGGAGGGGGGGGAGGAGGGCTTTTGGTGTTGCTTTCTGTAAAGGAGCGCGGAGACCGATCGATGGCTTTGGGTTGGTCACTGACGCCAGACACCTGAAAGCCAAGACCGATCATTAAGGCCAACCCAGTTTGTGACTAATTAATGTCCATTAATACATAATAACCCGTGAACCACAACCTTTTTGAGGCTCCCGGAACTACCGGAGAGACTGTGGGTTTTCTTGAGATCTCTTGGTTACTCTTAAGCTATTAAATCAATAGAAAAAAACCGGATAAAAAGTGAAAGCAGCAAAACCAGGACTTATCAGATATAACTCTATCGAGTTAATCCCCAGAATGGGGCTAAAGAGGAGGATGTATGCGTTCATAATATTCTCCTCATTAAACCAAGTTACTATTAACAGTAGTTCTTCCATCCAGTGACCGGTAGGTCATCGTTCTTTACCCTTTATCGCATGGCCGAAACGCTCCGCCTCGCCGCCATAGTGGACCACGGTTCTACTTAACCCATCCCATCTTATCGCGGCTCTTATGGCCGGGACCTTCCACTCCTTTCTTACTTATTGTTCTTGATTTCCCGCTTTTTCCTTTCTGTATCCTGGAAGGTTATGTTCCCGGAGACCCTCCACGCCCTTGTTCCGTATCTGATGGGAGAGTATATATATATTCTTTCCATTCTGTTTGCTTTCCGTTTTTTGGGGTTTGCTCCCCTTCAGGTTGCGCTCTGACGCCTGCAAAAAATTGATTTCGATTTTAATCCGTCTCTCGTCCCATCTCGTATTAATTTGCGACGGTTCACGCGGCCTGCACCTTTCACCATGCTCAAAGTAGGCTCGTGGTTATATGGCAAGAAGGCTGGTGCCAATGCCTCGACGCAATCTTTGGACTCGTTGGTTGAATTGCGGGATCGTGAGTGTTTCTTTAGCAATCATCTTAATGTGCTATACGTGCAGTGATGTGCTGATTTGTGTCTCCTCGAATGTGTAGTTGAGGATGCTATGCGGGGTATGCGCTTCTCTCCTGCTGTGGATGCCCGAAGCCCAGTCAAGACATGTACTAATGTTGTACGAGAATAGCTGCAACCCTCATTCTGAATGATGACGTTGACGGCGCCGAAGATGGTCTTTCGGAAGGAATTTCCTCGTTTCATAATGTGTGTATTATCCGTGGCTGAGGAGCAATATCACTGCTATTAGGGCCCACAACGACCCTTTGGTTGCTTTTACTTACAATCCCTTTTTCTTCCTGTATAGCTTGGACGAGGGGTTGTTGCATTTATTCGGGCGACACTGGGATTTGAACAGGAGATTATGCGCCAAGGTCCGTGGATTTCTTAGTCTGTCGGCAAGAACTAGGTTGATCACTGACCCTTGGCAGCATCGGAACGACTTAATACGGCCGAGACCAGTGCAGCCAGTGATCAACACAAGGCTCAGCACAACTTCCATGCTCCCAACACTTATCACTCGCCGATCTACTCGCCGGGCACCGAGTTCGCGCTCTGTCAGGCGATGGCCCAGCTCATGAGTGCTGTTGTGGGTGTGCTCAATGAGAGCCTTACAGAAAGTATCAAAGGGTTCTATAAAATGAGAAAGGCATACATTACGTTAGACGGCATCCTCAAGATGGAGCAGGCATATATACAGTCACATTCCGGCGGTGTGTCTCCTGCAGACCAAGGAGAAGCATCCCAAACCAACCCGACAGCCACCGTCGAGGCTAAAGGGCTATCCCAAAGGTTGTCGGATCTAAGTGTCTCTCAGGATAGCAGCAAGTCTGGCGAGTCGACTGAGCCATCGACGCCTAACCTCGGGGATATGCTAAGCCACGACCCCGATTCAGATATCTTCAAAAACCAGATTGACGTCTTCGTGCACTCTGGTTCTAATTTCTGTTTCGGTATTCTTCTTCTTGTTATTTCCATGGTTCCCCCGGCCTTCAGCAAACTGCTCAGCATCATTGGATTCTACGGAGATAAAGAGCGGGGACTGAGGATGCTATGGCAAGCTAGCAAGTTCAATAATTTGATTGGGGCACTGGCTGCTTTTGCGATCCTTGGTTATTACAATGGTTTTGTCCGTTACTGCGATATTATGCCAGATCCAGCTCCGGGAGACCAGGGCGATGTGCAGGGCTATCCTCAGCAGAGACTTGAAGCCCTATTAGCGCAGATGAGGCAGCGGTTTTCCAAGAGCCAACTTTGGCTGCTTGAAGAGTCTAGGATGGAAGGAGCGAACAAGAATCTGGAAAGATCCCTGGAGCTTCTATGCGGTAAGGAGCGCAGCCCGCTCAAGCAGGTCGAAGCTTTGCGGGTGTTTGAACGGAGTTTGAATGCAATGTACCTTCACAAGTATGAACTATGCGCCGAAGCATTTCTCGAGGTCTGAGCTCTCTTTCAAACGGGACCCTTGTATGAGCCTGCTAACGGGTGCTTAGTGTGTCGAGTTGAACTCCTGGTCTCGTTCATTATACTATTATATTGCAGGAGCATCTCATCTTGCCTTATACCGGAGCAGTATTGTATCAGACCCTAAAAAGGCAGAAGAGCACGCAGAAAAAGCTACGGAGTACTTCCGAACTGCACCATCGTTTGCCGGGAAGAAGCGCTTCATGGCACGACAACTACCTTTCGACGTATTCGTTGCACGAAAAATTGCCAAGTGGGAAGCGCGAGCGAAGGAGTGGAGTGTGCCCCTTGTGGAGGCAGTCGGCGTTGATCCCATCGAAGAGATGATCTTCTTCTGGAACGGACATAGCCGGATGACACAAGGACAGCTCGAGGAATCGATGCAGAAGCTCGCCTGGTCCGAAAGTGACGAAAACAAGAAGTGGTCCCGAGAAGGCCCCGAAGAGAAGGCAATTCTACAGCTGTTGCGGGCCGCCGTCTTGCGTGCGATGCGTAAACACGACGAGGCCAGACACTTGCTTAAAGGGTCTGTCCTCAACCATGACAAATCTTTGTTCACGGGTCATCTTAAAGACAACTGGATCCACCCAGTGGCTCACTTCGAAATGGCGGCTAATCTCTGGATGGAACGTCCCGGTTATATAGCCGTTCACGATGCTCCGGCTACCGAGTCCAAGATCGCTAATAGCGAGGAAGTAACACAACTCGAAAGGCAGCAGGTGCGGGAATGCAAGGAATACCTTGAGAAAGCTGCTAGATGGGAAAGCTACGAGCTGGACGCTCGTATTGGTCTCAAGGTGACCGCTGCCATGGAGGCAGTGCGCAAGTGGGAGAGCACGCACTCTACTCCTACTAATTGATGACTTGATGTATTATGATTATATACATGTATCTGCAAGAACTATCTTTGCAAGATATACGATGGGTAGAATATATGAATAGAGGACTACGATCATGTTCGGGTATTACTACATGGAGGTTCGAGGGATTACCGCTATTGCTTCACAGCCTATTGAAACATGATCAAATTCATAGACAGCCCTTTTCTTTGTTCTTGTCCCAGGCTGCCTTTTTATGTCAATATTTCATTCCAAGATATCGTGGCAAATTCTTGGTTTCTATTCATCAGGGAAACTGCGAACGTCAACGACGCAGGTTATATAAGACGGTCTTATTAACTATTGTTATTCCGTTCCCAAGCGGCACCCTACCGCCTCACGTGACAATAGATGGGCCCCGGTCCACTTTTTCTTTTTGTTCTTTTCCCCGGCGATCGTCCTTTTTAGCGTCCAAAACGCCCTCGGAAAATATTCCGCAGAGTGGTTCGGCAGGCTTGGCGAATGAATTGAATGCGGATATTATGCCAATTCAACTCCCATTAACTTTCAAAGAACTGAGCAGCGACTAATAAGAGGCCATGATTGAACTTCCACTGGCACCTGGATTTGCTGGTGACTGCAAGTAAATGATCATCAGTACGGGCTTCAGCCGAGCTGTGACCCCACTAGTAGAACAACTTAGCGGCGAATGAAGAAAAGATGTGGTCGGACGTCCGATTACGGTCTCGGAGTGGTGACTCGGTTAAGACGGCTTTTCGCCGCCAGGCCGTTAAGAGAAGAACTTTATATACTTCTGGTTCCTGTCAAAATTGTTCGAATTGCCTGGACTTTCGATTTTGCCTGGAACCAGTGACGTCTGAAACAATCTGCTCTGTTGCTCTTTGGTGCCACTTTGCGTTTCCCACTACTACTGTCCTAGGGGAAAATATTCCTTGGAGATTCTTCGATACTTCACAAAATTTTCTTGGCGGCCTGCGATCCCGACGTCATTGGTTAATGAAGTCATGACAAGAGACGAAGAACACTCATCCTCTCATAGCTCTCTCGACGATGATAGCAATTCGCTAGAGCTGCGGCATACCAACTACGATGAACGACCCAACGCAACGCTGGAGAAGCAGAGCACAGCGGCCTCTGCCCTGTCAGTCTTTGAACAACGCGCGCAATCGGTAGTTTCAAGAATCCGCAGTCGGGAACCTGGCCAGACCGCACGTTTCACGCATCCTCTGACACATACCAAAACATCAACTGATGTGATCGTGGACTTTGATGGACCTGATGACCCATATCGACCGCTTAATTGGAGTTTTAGAAAAAAGGCTATCACCACTGTATTGTATGGGCTGACAACAATGGGTATGTAGATCGTTTACCTCTGTGTAACTGTCTATAGTTCTAACGATGCTTGAATTACAGGTGCGACTTGGGCAAGTTCTATGTATGATCTAGTGGCTTACTCTATGTTCTTGCATTGGTATACTGAAAGATGGACAGCTACTCCACAGGCACGAGACAAGTTGATGCGGAATTCGGCGTCGGCGAGGAAGTTGGTACTCTTGGTACAGCATTGCTGTTGTTCGGGTTTGGTAGGTCCTAAGGCTGGATACTTCACTCACGTTCGAGAGAGCATTGTCTAATGCCACTTTAGGGCTCGGACCGCTTATATGGGCACCGTTATCCGAAGTCTATGGGCGCAAACCCGCCGTTCTAGCCCCATACTTCATTGCCGCTATATTCTCCTTTGGCACCGCTACCGCCAAAGATCTACAAACAGTTATGATCACTCGGTTTTTCACCGGATTCTTTGGTTCGGCACCTGTCACTAACACTGGCGGTGTTCTGAGTGATATCTGGACCGCGGAACAGCGAGGAGCGGCTATTGTTGGCTATGCTTTGGCCGTGGTTGGAGGACCGGTGTTAGGACCCATCGTTGGCGGTGCAATTGTTCAAAGCTATCTTGGTTGGAGATGGACTGAATATGTCAGTACTAAGCTCTCTTCATATCGTCATCGACAGACTCTAACATCCTTCCATCCAGCTCACCGGTATTATGATGATGTTCTTCCTCGCGATGGACGTTCTATTCCTAGATGAAAGCTATCCCCCGGTGTTATTAGTCTACAAGGCTCAGAGACTTCGATTTGACAGTGGCAATTGGGCTCTCCACGCGCGCCACGAGGAATGGGATGTCACATTCAAAGAACTCGGCAACAAGTACCTTATCCGCCCTTTCCAGCTCCTGACAACCCCAATTTGTTTCCTAGTTGCCCTTTATGCCTCATTCGTTTACGGTATCATCTACCTCAGTCTAGCAGCTTTCCCCATTGAGTTCCAAGAAGTCCGAGGCTGGAATCAAGTTGTCGGCGCATTGCCATTCCTAGGGTACCTAGTTGGAATCCTTTTCGGCGCTGCCGTCAACCTCCTCAACCAAAAGTTCTACGTCAAGCGCTTCAAAGCCAACAATAATTTCCCCGTCCCCGAAGCCCGTCTTCCCCCAATGATGCTAGGATCGGTCTTCTTCGCCGCAGGCATGTTCGTATTCGGCTGGACCGGTCAACCGGACATTCACTGGATCGGTCCCATAATAGGCGCCGTGATGATGGGCTTCGGCTTCTTCACCATCTTCCAAGCCGCCCTCAACTACCTGATCGACACCTTCCAGAAAGTCTCTGCCAGCGCCGTAGCAGCCAATACTTTCCTCCGGAGTGTCTTCGCCGGTTGTTTCCCGCTCTTCGCCAGTATCATGTTTCGCAAAATGGGTGTGCCCTGGGCTGCTAGTGTTCTGGGCTTTGTATCGGTTGCGCTTATACCCATTCCGTACCTGTTTTACATCTTCGGGAAGCGTATCAGAGCTGCTGGGGAGTGGTCTCGTGCTTCTGTTTATGGGTACTGAGTGCCCGCTATCTTCGTGACTAAATGATTATGACGATGTCATGCTCAAAGGATATGGTTGAGTAAGGTTTGTTTTTGTTAATTCGGTGCTTCATATTATATATACCCTTTGACGGAGCAAAGATAAAAGTTTTTGTTATTTGTTATCTTTAGAGATACTAGAGCTGTGACATGGGATAAAAGCGGCTTTCGAATTACGTGCCTCTGACTTCCCACGAATGCGTGGATTTCATTTTCTTTGTTATTTCCTATTTAACAGACCAAATAATAACAATCTAATATCAAATATGTCAATGAATATGATTCTAAGTGTGTCAACATTTATAAAGAATTGTAAAAAGAAAGTGGTCCGGTTGGACAAAGTCACAATGGTTATAAAGAAAATAGAAAGAATGTGTACGAGTCCAGTAAATAAATGACCAATCTGGACGTATGAAGGAAGGAAGCTGTTCCTGATTTCTCTTTTTCCTTTCCTTTTCTTATTTCATTTTCATTTTTCTTTTTCTTTTTCTTTTTCTTTTTTTTTTTGGGCAAGGATGGAAAGGGACAATGAAGGTAGGTCATCAACCAACTGATACCCCCGCAGCAATATAATCAAGTCTTCGAACTCCATTTCGTAGTAAACCTCCTAGCCAAGGTAACAGCCCTACCAAGAGGATTCCAATTGGCACTCTTGGTCCTACCCTTGACACTGACAGACGGAACACGAGCTCTACTCTCAACAGTTCTCGTCCTCTCGATCAAGCTCTCTTGTTTGGCATTATGCAACGCCAGTACAGCCAAATGGCCCAGGAAAGTAGGATGCTCGAGCAATTCCTCAAGTCGAACTTGGAGACCTTCCTGCTCGAGACACCAGGCCAGTTGGCCCATGCTGAAGATGTCGCCGCCCAGGCCGAAGAACGAGGAGTTGAGCTGGAAGGGCGGCCGGGATGTCTCCGGGTTTTTGTTGGGGAGGACTTGTTGCCAGGTTTTGTTGAGGATGTCGGAGTGCACGAGGAGCTCGGAGATACTTCTGCTGTTGAGGTTGGAGGTGAGGAAGTGCTCTTCTGTTGGTCTGGGGAGGTCGTCGATGACCTGGCAGGGTAGAGAGTGGAGGGTAGATGGGGATGGGAGGGTGATTTGGGGGTTGGTGATTAGGCTGTGGGCGGTTTCGCAGAGCATGTCGAGGATCTTTGTGGCGAAGGGGGTGGTGATTGCGCTTCTTTGGGAGTAGGCGAGCGTGATGTCTAGCTTGCCGTCGCCTGTTGGCTTGGATACTACCGTGATGTCGGTGAAGTTGTCTACGACGCCGACGCCGCCCATGCGGTACATGTTGTCGTCGAGCTGCATGTGGCCTTCGTATTCGACGTTCTGGTGAAAGACGGAGGTGGTGAAGAACGTGGAGTCGGGCCAGTCGGTGCAGGTTCGGATTATTTCTCTAAATCCCAGAGACTCGTAAGGCATGTTGGCGACTTGTTGATCCTGGAGGTAGCGGAAGATGTCGAGGCCGGTCCACCGGTCCCCGAACTTGACTCTGACTGGGATCATGTTGAGACATGGTCCGACGGTGCTTTCGATACCCGGGATTGTTGCGTTTCGGCCGCTGATTGTGAGCCCGAATACCACGTCGGATTGTGCGGAGAGCTTGGCCAGTGTCATGGCCCAGGCTGATTGCATGACCGTCGCAAGGGTCACGTCGCCGATGACTGTGGCTGAGATCTCGATGGCTTTCTTCTGTGCCGTGAAAGAGCCGATGTGTTGGAAGTTATTGGGTGTCTGTCTTCTGATGATATCAGTCATCTTAGAGCCTTGTAGAAGTGTGGACCAGTGTTGATAGTGCTCAGGTGTGATACTTCCAGGGAGCATGCGCATGTAGTTTGAGAACGAGGACGTTGGGGGAATAGGGCTACCCTCGTAACCCATCTTGATGGCCGACATGATTCGTGGAAGGCAGACGCCATCGAACTGAGTGTGCGACATTCTGATCAGGATACGATGATGATCGGTGTTCTTCTTTTTCACGACGTAGAACTGCACATATTGTTCGCCTTGTCGGGGGTCCTGTTCTCGGTCACGCTGCTGTAGGGACTCAGTGTACTCGTCCAGACTTTTCTCCGTCTCGTGAACAACGATTTCGGGTCGCATCTTTCTCAAGACGACTTGGAAGAATTGGCCATGGAAGCAGACAAACACTGTACGAAGGATATCGAAAGCGTCGACCACCCGCAAGAAACTTTCTCTAAGTCGTCTAATGTCTAATGGGCCCTTGCCATCAAGGAAGAAGTAGTTCAACATCCATCTGGACTTAAAGAGACTTGCAGTGATAGACATAGCCTGGAAGTCGGTAACGGGAAGAACATCCGCAATGCCACCTCTGAATACACCAATCTTGGAGCAGATGCTGGACTGCAAAGATGAATCGTCGATCGGCATAGGCCTCAGCATGGATATCTCGTCAGGTGAAGCTGCCCTGGTGATGACGACCGGTGACTCCGGGACCTTCTCGCTGAGCTGAGTGACCTGTGTATGAGTTTCAAACATTGCTGCGCTATCCTTAGCGACGACTATGGCCAGCATATCCTTGAACACCGGATTGCCGAAAACATCTGCTACACTCAGCGAGATGCCTTCCTCTCTAGCGG